TGAAAAGAGCTGTTTTCACTTTCATTTTCCGATGACAATGAAAGTTGTTATTTTAGCTGCAGGTTATGGAACTAGACTGCAAAGGGATATCGAGAATGACACGACTGGGAATTTCAAGCATCTGGACGGCATTGCCAAGCCGCTGCTTCCTGTCGGTCGATGTGCGCTTATCTCACACTGGGTTCAGGCACTGACCAAGACAGGATGTGTGGACACAGTTTATGTGGTTGTGAGTCCTGAATAACTGCATAGTTTTAAAAACAAATATAATAGTGTTTGTTTTGAATGATTATTATGCACAAAATAACAAATTGTATCATCTATTGAACAGACAAATGATCTTTACTTTGAAGCATTCCAGCAGTGGGCTCAAGAATTCCCCAATGTTAAAATCATAAACGATGGTACTAGAAGAAACGAGGTGAGCATACTGAAATGGAGCAACATGGATGTTCATTAATGTCATTTTTAACTCCCTTTCAATTGTCTCCGCAGGACAGACATGGTGCTGTTGCCTGTCTTCAGTTGACAGTCAAGTTGTGTGCTGTGGATGACCACTTACTAGTAATCGGAGGGTATGACCAGCTTCAGACTGAATAAGGCACTGTCTTTCAGGCAGTGTTTGAGATGGCTTTAAAAGAGAAAATATAAATATATATATATATTTTTTATTTTTTTATTTTGCAGTGATACTTTATTCAAAGAGGATTTCAGCCTGAGGAAATTCACAGAGAGGTTCTTTGAAGTGCAAAATAAAGACAACGAGAGCAATTTAGTGCTGTCATACCAATGCAAAGATGAGGGTGAGCGCAAAAGCAGAACAATGACCCAGTTTCACAGACAGGGCTTAGATAAAGCCAGGATTAGGCCTTAGTTTAATTAGGACATTTAAATAGCTTTTATAAACATGCCTTAGAAAAAAAAAAACATTCGTGTGCATCTTGAGACAAAACCGTGGCATTGACATATTTTAAGGTATGTTAATGCAAGTTGCTTTCAGTTAACACAGCTCAAACATGTATTTTAGTCTGGTACTTGGCTTAAGCCTCGTCTGTGAAACCAGGGGATAATGTTTTTAGCTTTGCTGAACATATGGTCACTGGTTTTTAAATCCATTATTATATCATTTTCACCTTCAGAAACATCCAAATATGGGATTCTGGAGTTGGATGAGGACCTTAAAGTAAAGCGTATGAAAGAAAAACCTCTCTTAAGTGAAACAAGTTCACGTAATGCAGTATGTTTTCATGTGCATTGGAAGACATTTAAGAACTGATTATCTTTATTTTTACTAGTGATGTCTTTAATGCATTTTCCTCATTTTGCAGTGTCCTTGTTTTTACTTGTTTTCAAGAACCACTCTTCCTCTTTTGGACATATTTCTTAATGAGAAGAAGGTAGTTGATTTACATTTATTAAATTATTCTATAGTTTGTTTTCTTTATTTTTGTGTAACGCTTCTTTACAGAATGCACCTATTGAAGAGCGGGACGCACCAGGGACCTTTCTGTCATGGCTCATATTAAGGTCACTTAAAGGCAGACTGTAGACAATAATAAGGCATTGTTTTTGCTTGTATTTAGTGACATTAATCATGCTTGGTTTAATTTTAGGAGGCCTGTGTACGTGCACAGGATATCTGGTCGATTTGATGTGGGGAATCTTGCATCATACATTGAATGTGACAAATACTTCAAGGACCAACTTCACAATCCAACTGTTTATTTAATGTAGTTCAAACATGTATTGACAATCAAACATGAAAACTGCATTCAGAATAAAACTGTATCAGTGCCATCTTTGAGTGAATTATTGTCACAATCTTGTTAAATTAGAAGGGACAACTAGTCAAGAGTATTAAATCAGGTGGAGACCAGCCTTTTGCACTTATCTGATGCCTTTTCATGGCTATTTTCTAACTTGGCAATTCTAGAGCCAAACTGCATGGCTCTCTTAGGTAAGAAAGAAGAGAGTCCCAATCCTATCTCAACAGCTGCTAGCCTCAATAACAGCTTTTCTCCAACTCCTCTGGGTAGAGACAAGTCAGCCTTCTCTGACACCGGTAGTCCATTAAGGAAACTGACTACATCTTCATCCAAGTATGGAAATCTGAGTTTAAAAAAAATATATACAATATGTATTATGTGCAATACTATGAAAGAGGATAAGGGCCAAGTAATAATAAAAAAATAAATAAAACCATCTCGAGATTAAAGTCATTAAAATGCAAGATTAAACTCGTTAAATTTCGAGAAAAAAAGTGGAAATACATTCATGAGAATAGACTCATTAAATATTGAGAATAAAGTCATGTTTCGAGAAAAAAATCGTTAAATTTTGAGAAAAAAAGTCGAAATACAAACTTGAGAATAGACTCATTAAATTTCGAGAAAAAAGTCTAAATACAATCTTGAGAATCGACTCATTAAATATCGATAATAAAGTCGTTGTGTTTCGAGAAAGAAATCGTTAAATTTCTAGAAAAGTCGAAATACAATCTTGAGAATAGACTCATTAAATATCGAGAATAAAGTCGTTGTGTTTCGAGAAAAAAAACATTACATTTTGAGAAAAAAGTCGAAATACAATCTTGAGAATAAAGTCATTTTGTTTCGAGAAAAAACCTCTTTAAATATCGAGAATAACGTTGTGTTTCGAGAAACTGTCTCCATGGTTACTGTGTAAAAACCTTTGCATTGCTGTAGTGCCACATGCACTACCATTTTCGGTCCCTATGTCCACGCGGAGCTCTCGGGACACCCTACCATACCAGTAACTGTTTTTATGAAGTAGCTAACTGGCTATTACGATAGGGTCATTATTGGTTGAGTACGCCTCCATCCACAGAATGTAACGACTGTAACCATCTATACAGCCATTAATGGCAATGCCGTACGTACGGTTTTAATTGATCATAGCTGTCCATATTCCAGAGTGCATTTGGACGAACGCTGTTCAATGTTCAAGTGACGGATCAAACGTCTTTTATCAGTAAAGTTCTGCACAGGCAAATTCAGTGACACTTTTAGTGCAATATATTACTGCTAAAGTTGATAGTGTTTCTTTGTTACTGGAATAAAGTCTAAAATATAGCTTAACTAGTGATCGAACTCTGCCATGTTGTCTATCAGTAAGCTATATGAACACTGGTCAAATGCGTTGTTCTCTACATTTCATTTTGACTTTTTTTCTGGAAACACGACTTTATTCTCGAAATTTAATTAATTTATTCTCACGATTATTTCGACTTTTTTCTCTAAATTGAACGCGTTTTTTTTTCTCGAAACACAACGACTTTATTCTCGTAATTGAACTAGTTTTTTTCTCGAAACACAACGACTTTAATCTCGAAATTTAATGAGTTTATTCTCAAGACTGTATTTCGATTTCTTCTCTAAATTTAACAAGTTTTTTCTCGAAATACGACATTATTCTTGATATTTAATGAGTTTATTCTCAAGATTGTATTTCGACTTTTTTCTCGAAATTTAATGAGTTTAATCTCGCATTATAATGACTTTAATCTCGAGATGTTTTTTTTTTTTTTTTTAATTATTGCTTGGCCCTAATCATCTTCCGTACAATACCATAGCATTTCATTTTTGGGTAAACGATTTTTTTTTAATATTTGATATTTCTTGAGCTGCAAAGTTTCACTCTTGCCTGGCCTCTTTTCCATGGTCCCCAATGATACGGTCATCTCTTCCCAGATTTCTCGAGGATATTCGTCCCAGCTCCATAGCCAGCTCTTTGACGAGTCCTTCCAGTCCAGAGCTCTTATAGCGCACTCTGTGTCTGGAGTATCCCGCCAGCTGTTCATCTGCTCCGATGCCAGTCAAAATCACCTTTAAAAAGAGGAAAATCAGATTTAAAGCAGCCAGCGTGACTAAGTCTTTACAATAACATACATTTCATGTAGACTTAATTCAAGTGCAAACAGAAAAACAAAGTAACCTTTGCTTCTGAACTATAAAGCTCTTCTTCAACACCCTCATTTATGATGCCAGTTCCTCTGGCAGCAAACCAGACGGCACATCCAAGGCTATCATCCAGAACAGTGTCCAAAGGGTGAACCAAATGACGGATGCGCTTCTGTCGCATTTCTTGAAGCTCCTCTTGAGTAACATTAATTTCGATAAAGTTCCACTGGCGGTTTGGACTGAGATTTTTTAGTTCTTGTACACCAGCTCTTCCAGTTATTCTGTCTGGCACATCAAAGCAGTTAAAGCTCTGCTGATCCGATTGAGTTTTATCAGCATCACCTTCTTTCTTCTTATTTTTCCCTTTCTTCAAAGACTTGGGAGGCACTTTTGCCTCTTGGATTTTGAAAGCAACATTGAGTAGGTCAATGGGTTTGTCTGCAGGAATATGCCTATCAGCAAGGGCAGCTAATATCATTGAATCAATTCCCCCAGAGAAAAGAATGGCAATACCAGCTTTTGTATAATTCAAAGGGACCGCCAATTCATCTTGAGCAGGTAGGTAACAAACTCTCTCACGCACAGCCTCGCTTAGAACATCAATGAGCGTGCTAACCATCGCTTTCTTTTGAGTGTTTGCTAGTAATTCTTTCAGACTTGCAACAGAGTTTTGGGAGACATTCTGATCTTGTTCAGTTACAAGTGATGAAATTGATGTATTCATTGGACAGACAGGGCAGGACAGGTAAAGGCCAGAACTATTTGTGTTTACAGAGACAGATCTGGGTAGACTTTCACATCTAAATTCCAAGCTTTCAGTTGGCTCATTGCCATTGTGGAAAACCCATGGATAAAGATCAAAAACAAATGTCCCTAGGGATGAAGAATCCGTTAGGTCAAACCTGTAAACTCCACTAGGTGGTACTTCCTGCCACTGAGGTTGAGTTTCATCTGCTGGCTGGGAAGCAACAGATGTGAGTGTGAAAGATGCTCTTTCAGGATCAAATTTCCAAAGCAGACTTCTTCTTCCAAAAAAGTCCCTCCCAAACCAGATACAGTGCTCTGCTTTTTGGTAATAGATAAAGGCCCAGGGTCCTTTGAGTTGCGACAGAAAAAGTATCACATCTGAGGTGCTCTGCGCCATTGACAGGTGATGGAGAACAACTTTGGTGTCATTGTCTTCCAGCTCTACTTTCGGACCACCAAATACCTCTCCATTCCAGAGAAGCATGTTCCCGTTGTCATCTTGAAGAGGCTGAGGTGTCAAGCAACCCCTCATATGAAGCACATGTGCAGAGAAAAGGAGACTGCAGTCTGAGATTGTTATTGTAATGTCCCGGCTACAGTTGGGCCCTCTGTATTTGAGATTTTCATACACACACTCCTCTAGTGCATCATGCGGTGTGGTCAAACTGACCACACAGCAGATCCCACACATGATCCCACGAAACTAAATATCTTGATATTCTTTCCTCATGTTATCAAGATCCTCTGTAAAAAGCCAGATGACAGTGTTAGAAAGAACTCAAAACGATTGGTATTTATGATTTTATTAATTGTTTATGAAACTTACTTTTACATGAGCTAAGACTCTCTCCTTTGTCTGCCAGAAAGAATATATTGCTGTTGGGTTGTTGTGTGTACACTCTCTATAAGAATAAGGTTAGGATTATCAGAACACAATGATATTCTAGCTAAATCTGCATTTATAATCCTAAAAATTTAAAAATATAATCCTCTTCATTTAAATGTATGCAATAAGAAGACCCCTGACTTTGAGGTAAATGTTAATATTGTTTACATGTTAGTTCATGCAAGATAAAAGAGTGTACAGCAGTGTGATGTATTCACATTTATATATATATATATATATATATATATATATATATATATATATATATATATATATATTACTCCTTTTGTTACTTTTTCAGTAGGAAAATTGAAATTGCATTACGGACCAGACATGAAAAGTGAAAACAATTGAAAATATTGACTATATAAATTACAGTTAAAAAAAAAATATTTTTAAGCATATTAACTTCTAAAGGATGTGGAGATGAGTACTCTGCAGTTTGACTTGTCCTCTATTGAGTGACAGCATCTGCAACTCAAATGTAGCATGACCATATGATATGGGACAACATACATAATACATACCCTGTTTTTCTTCAAATTGCTCAACTCGTCGACTAAAATCTTTTGCTCTTTTATCTGTGAATACATAGTTTGGTTTATTGGAAAAAAAGGTTTGAAAACAGCGATTAAAAACATAAATTACTTTATAACTGACAAATAACGTCAATATGATTATGTAGCTATACAGGCTTTGCAACATATTCTAATAGGAAACCTTCTTGTTTAGCTCCTCTTTTTGTGCGAGCTCTTCTTGAGTCCCAGGTTCCGGTTGCTGTATGTTCTTAGAAGACATTTTATATGAAAAGTAAAAACGCTTCGTCTAACTAAGGAAACATTTCCACATGCAAGTAGCTCGTTCGTCGAATACGAATGACGTAAGCTGGGGTACAGACAACGGCGCTTTAAAAGTGCGTCACGGAAGTGTTTACTAAATCATAACCACCACAATAAAACCATTATGTTAAATTTAACTGCTTAAAGAAAGATAATGAAAATAATGGTTTGAAGGTTGCTGCAAGAGGCTGGAGCATTTAAAGAAATAAATGTAGATGAATGAGGATGATAGATTTAAGCAGGTAGTTTTTCATAACCGATAATGTGTCGAGATAGAATGTTTATCTCGTGAATGTTTTTTGACGAATTGATTATCATTTGTATAATTAGGCTACTACAAAATGTAAATGGTTAAACTATAGGTAGTGTTGCAAAATCATGGTTAATTTGTGGTTACCTGGCTTGACTGCAATAAGCTTTTTTTTTTCTTCTTTTTTAGGGTGAGTTTTCAAGAATAACAGCTCAGATTGGTCCAATACCTCCCTGCATTTTACAATATTTCAGCATTTAGGGCAGTGACCCACTATCAGAGCAACCAAAGCAGCTGATACCTAAACCGATATGATCTGATGAAACATATCCCACACACTTGAAGGAGAACAAAAAAGTATCATACCATAACTCTTGGTGTACAAAACATCATATTATTCAAATATTTTTGTTGCTGTTGCAACAAAATGTAGCTAAAGAGCTTTGCTCAAGACATGTCAAAGCACATTGATTGCATCTTAAAAACAATGGAGCCTCTTGATTTTTTCTCCCACAAAACTAAAGCGTCAACAGCCAAAATCCTAAATCCAGAATCCTGATCTATGAGGTCATTGCTTGTGATGACAAAAGGTTTTTTTTTTAACACATCCCTAATTGACCACAAGTCAAGTTTATGCATCCAAATAGATTTTGTAATTCTATCTATTCCATCTGATATCGTGCTGTACCATACAGGTAAAGAAAATGAACATTATATCATAACTCTTATGCAACATCCAATTATCCAAAAAATGTTGTTGTCCTGTAACGAGATCTTTCCTCAAAACATGTCAAAGCACATTGTTTGCATTTTAACATTGAGGGGAGGGGAAATTTAGTCAAAGCTGACTGGCTTTTACTGTCTTATTGTAAAAATGTGTTGAATCCAGGCAGTATTTAGGGTACAATGGAGCCTTTTGATTTTTAAACAGCGAATAACCACAATCCTAAAAGCAGAATCCTGATTCCTGAAGTCATCGCTTATGATGACAGAAGGTTTTGTAATACTTTTAAAATGCACATCCCTGAAATGATCAAGTGTATTGAGACTTTGTGAAAAAGACATAACCAGATTTCTGAAATGTAATCCAGGGACATTTCCTTTAGTGGTTCAAAATATCATTAAAATCTAACTTGATTATTATCTATGAATCAAAAAATGGGTGCAATACATTTTTGGATGTTTTTATTTTTTTCATTGTTTTGGGTTGGTTTCTTATACTTTTATAATTAATAACTATATTATGTTGTTTGCAGGTCAAACTGAATCTGAAACTGAAAATCACACTAAACATAGTGACCATTGCAAACAGATCAATACAAAATTATGACTTTACAAAAATGGATTTGGAAAAATAAATATGAGATAAATGAAACTGTATTTAACAAATATTTTGACATTTTCTAAATGTATTTTCACAAACTGAATATGCCGTGTACAGTAATTACAATCTTTTTTTATAGATGTTATTATGTTTGTGTTTATGATCATTTAGGCTCATTTTGAGAACAAATCACATGCTTTCTGCAAGAATTGCTGAAACTATAATTATCCATTTTTTTATTAATATTGAGGTGTTGAGTGTATTAACATGCTATAAAGCGGGGACATTTCGGGGACAACTCCAGTTGGAGACCAAACTGAGCGGTTTATCTGGTCACCCTAAAAAGACCCCTATAACTGCCTCTAGCTATGTTTTTAATCAAACCAATCTTCTTTTATCATTCATCAATGTCCATCAGTGAAATATTTCCATATTGTTTTGTTGGGCTGGCAGACATAAACTTTATTTTAAGGTTTGAGTCACCGCAAGTGGACACTATGCACTTCATTATTCGGATGAATAATGCATAATACTGAATAATAAGCAAGCAAGCACATGGAAGTCATTTTAATCTGTTGTCTGTTGCTCTAAACATAGGATCTATTGGTTTTTGTAATCATTCCTATTTTTAATACCAGTTAGATCCCACTCTCCTGTTTCGTAAACTTCTAACCTCATTCATGACACAGAAAGCCTGCATTTACTGAATTACAGTGTTTGTGTTTGTGGTGCTGTTGATTGTGCATTAGCCCCTGTGCTGGATAGTTCTGTTGAAATGTGTGGTCACCTTTAAAAGGCTTAAGTCGTGTTAAATCACCTGAACAGTGTTTACTTGTGTGTTTCCACCTCTAATATCACAAACACACTAGTTTGTTTGGGTTCAGTCTCGGTCAGGGCAGCAATCCTATATTGATTCTAGACACCTGTGTAAAGTTTGGGTCCTTATCAGCCGAAAAATTCCCAATGTCCAGGGTTGGTAAATGGGGGGGGGGGGGGGTGTCTTACCATGAGGACCATGAATAGAGCCTGAATATTGTTGTGGTGTGTTAAAAAAGGTGTAGTTTGATAAATGGGGAAGTCACCAGTGTCAGATTTCTTTCATTATAAATGTAAAGGATATGAGCCAGCAAGTAAAGCACATATATGGTCTAATGAGACCAACAGAGTGATAGAGCACAAAACCAAGTCTCTGTAATCTGTTTCCATGTCTCAGATTTCTGTGGATGGTTCTGTGTGCAACATGACTCAGCTTTTGAGCCTTCTGTGAATGGGATGGGTTTCTAATCGTCAGACTTTTTAATCAGGCCCACAACCAGTTTTAGGTGTTGCTTTGTCATGCAGGCTACTGCCAAATACTGCAGCAAAAAAAAAATACGAAAAACACTAACAAAGATAACAACACAATCCTCTCTGTTTGTTTTGTGATTAGACATATCATTTCATCACGTTATTATTTAAAAACAATCAAACCGAGCAAAGCATTACTTCACTTTTTATGCACTTATCATGTCAAAAAAAAAAATCACGAGATTAGAAAAACATGCTATTACCTTTGCCATGAGCTTCTGCGTCAGAAAAAAAAGCATCTATGAAGAACCTTTAACATCCATAGTACCTTTCCATTGCACAAAATGTCTTCTTGATAGTGAAAAGGGGTTCTTCTTAAGATTCAAATGTTCTTCACACTAAGTAAATAATAGTTTTTTTTAAGAAATGTTCACTCAAAAGGTTCTTTTGGAAACCAAATATGGTATAGCCATTTTTATCTGAAGCACGTCCACTGAGACAAGAAATTACTTTATAAATTATAAAAGACTCTAGTGAGTCTCATGGTTAGGCAATAATTGGTTTGGAGAAGTGAGTGAGCAATAACTTTCCTTATTCCTTATTTCTTTAAACAAAACATGTAGCTTTCCATGTAACATGTCACATTATTTTTGTATCTGTGCTGAAGCTGCTGTGTGTTACTGACCTGAATAGAATAAATCTGGATACTATTGCGAAGAGGCATACTGCCAAACTGTTGGGAAATAGCTGTCAGTAATCCAAAGTGCAACCAAGAAAGAAAAATATTACAGTACCGATTGTGAAAATAAATCTATCTGGATTGATATTCGGTAGGCTATATAAGACAACGTGGACACTGATTGTATGGAAAGTTGGAAACCCTACTAATCAGTAATGTTCATCAAGGCCTGTGTTGTAGAATTACCCATTTGACAGAGTTTTACAGTACCATGCACACTTTAAGTCCTCAAATTTGACTGGTAACCCATCAAAATGTCATGGAATTAGGTTATGTCACCGTGACATTTTGATGGGTTACCAATCAAATTTGAGGTAAAGAGATTGTTAAAGTCGTTTTTAATGGCCAATACCTAATTTAATGGACATTGGTGCATCTACGAAACCTTGCTGTGGTAAGTGCTTTACTGATTTGTTTGCTGTGTATACAGGGATAGTTCACCCAAAAATGAAAATATTCTGTCAACACCCAAACCTGTATGAGTTGCTTCTGAACATGAACACAAAAGAAGATATTTTTTGAAGAATATTAGGAACCAAACAGTTGATGGTAGCCATTGACCTCCATGGTATTTTTTTTCCAAATATGAAAATCAATGGTTGCTGTCAATGGTATGGTGACCATATTCTTCAAAATATTTTCTTGAGGGTGAGTAAATGATGACAGAATTTATATGTTGGGGTGAACTATCTCTTTAAACATTTGACTGCAAGTAACTTGCCTAAATTAAGAATTTCCACCATTAAAAAATATTTAGTGACAACATGCCCCAATGCCATTGTTTCATTGTTGACCCTTGAGAAAATATGAGAATATTGAATTTTACATTTGGAGGAAATAATTCAGAACCATTTTAATTTAAGGGGTTTAAACTTGGTGTTTGTAATCATTTTATCGCATATGGAGAAACAGACCTTTGTGACAACAAACTAGCCCCGGTCTCCACATTTTTAGACTTGTTGATTGCCGCAACGCAACGAGGCTATTTTAAAATAGCTATTTATTTTGCAGACTCATCTAGTGAATTGATCTTTCCAGATGAGCTTGTGTTATTAAATATGTTGCTGTGTCACTGTAACTGGTTCTGTCTTTGTTGAGCGCAAATTTGGGGCGGAGTCTATTTTCGCAGTCATATATCAGCAGTGTCTGTTTGACGGTCCGTGTTTGAGATAAACACGGAGCTCGGCTGCATCCGTGAGCGCGGCTCTGGCCCTTTCGGGAGTTATATGTTTTTGCACATTTAGTTGTTCTAGAAAGGTTATTTCTCTCCAACTTCAGCTACAGTGTTGGCTAAGTTAGGAGAGGAGAGAAGGGAAATATTCGTGTTTTGCGCAGGAAATTGCATCGAGGATTTACCGTTTAAAGCGAACCATTACAAAAGAATCCAAAGCTTGACAAAACCGAACAAATACAATCGATATATATATATACGCACAATGGACACCGCTGCATCTAAGAAACCTTGCTGTGGTAAGTGCTTTACTGAATTGTTTGGCTGTAGGAATCTGTGATAAATTAAGCGCCTTTGGCTTAACCAAAATAATAAATAACCTTGCAGTCTTGCACTTGAATTATTCTCAACGCACTTCTGCACTTTCTACATGTTCTCTCTCCTCAGAAAGAGTTCGCGAATTCTTCACGTCTGCAAAATTCCTTATTTACCTCGGACATGCTCTGTCAACATGGGTGAGAGATTTTTTTGCATTATCTTCGGTTGGCAGATCTTATAATTATCCAGAACTTTTTTATTTGTTTGTCTTACATTCAGGGAAATTCAGCTTTACCTTTATTCATAAAAACCTAATTTGTTTTTTCAATGTTTGTTAACTTTAAATAACAAAAACAATTGGTTTTGATATTACAAAGAGATAATATCTACCGTGACAGTTTTCAAGATCATAAATTTTACTCCAAAACATTATATTCATTATTGCATTAATATGTTGTCTTATATAAATGAGTTAATCCATATCAGCTAACATAAGCTGCTAAATACTACAATGACAGCTCTTTTTCTTTTTTTTTTTTTTTTGCATGAATCTCAGTGAACTAGTCTTATTTCAATCACAAAATTACATTGACTGATGATCGTTGTGTCGTGATGTTACAGGGGGATCGGATGTGGAACTTTGCTGTGGCTGTGTTTTTGGTGGAGCTGTATGGCAATAGTTTACTCTTGACAGCCGTGTATGGACTGGTGGTTGCGGGGTCCGTCCTCTTACTGGGCGCTATTATTGGTGACTGGGTGGACAAAAACCCCAGACTGAAAGGTAAACATATGGCGAAGCCCAAACAGGATTATTGTGAAACATGACACATTAATTACTCATTAATTATGCCAGTTATTCCAACATTTTTACTGAATGCAACTGAGTCTGGATTTCTTTCTTCATTTCAGTGGCGCAGACATCTTTGGTCGTCCAGAACAGTGCTGTCATTCTCTGCGGTATCCTTCTGATGGTCGTTTTCCAGTATAAAGAACAGCTTTCTAACATGTATGACGGATGGTTGCTGGTGAGTTTGATTCCTAGCAAAACTCTGACACTATTTATTTATCAGTATTCGCTGAGTAAATAGTTCTTCAGAAGCACACAGAACTAATCCATATTTGTACACAATAAAGAAAGTCATCATTTACAAGAGCAGAACATTCTTGTTGCAGTGACTTGCTGTTTATAATGTGTAAAAAAAGTATTTTTCATAGTTGGCAAAAAATTATAAGAGAATATTCATAATAATTTAAAGCTCCTTATCAATTTCTAACCTATAGAAGATAATGTGGTCTAAAAAGAGAAAAAGCCCCCCTCTTTATCTTGCATGGCCTCAACTTAAGTTCATGTAAGTGAAACACGACACCTTGGAAACAAACGATGACATGCTGTCAGCAGAATCCAGGGATGTCACATGAATAGAAAGCATGTTGCTTGCTCAATATTAGTCCTTTGAGTCTGTTAAAAGACTGGAAAGCTTAACATATACAATAACAAACAAAACCTGCTGTTTGTCCCGGTGTCGCTGAGGTCGAGAACCCATATAGAAGACAAAATGTGGCTTGTTCAATGAACTGTTTTTTTTGTTTTTTTTTGTTCTGGACTGTTCCTGAAAATTGAGTTAGCTTTTTGTGGCAGTGTACTAAAACAATTAACAATATATTGGACACAGTGTCGTATTTTGTTTAATTACATGTTTTTTTGTCATTGCAGACATCATGCTACATTATGGTCATCAGCATTGCAAACATCGCTAACCTAGCCAGCACAGCTATGTCTATCACCATCCAGAGGGACTGGGTTGTGGTTGTAGCTGGAGATGATCGGAGCAATCTGGCAGGTCAGGACTTTTAATGTTTCACCTTCTTCAACTTTATTACAGTGGCCCCAAAAAAGTATTTGGACACTTTTTGACACTAAGCCAAGCTAAAAAATATATGAATTTCATATATTTCAGAGTAAACACAGTTCATCACATCCACTAAGGTTAACAAAAAAAAAAGTGTCCATATCATTTTGTCTTTATTTTTTGACTGATGTTGTTAAATTGAATAACTAGTGTAACAAACAAATCATTTTTAATTTAGTAAATTATTTAGAATTTCTATTTTTTAATTTTATTTAACGGAATGTGGCGTAAGTGTCCAAATGCTTTTTTTCCTGATCACTAAACTGTATATAACAGTCATTTCACTTAGTCGAGGAAACTCATAAAATGCATTACAGCTCTTTCTCCATCAATCGTCTTATCTTCATAGAGTACTTGCATCAGCTGACATTTCATATGACTCATTATAAACCCATCAATGACCCAGTGAACCCAGTAACCTCCCAGAAATCCATGAAAGCTTAGCTAACACATAGCTTTCTCATTACTGTGGAAAAATGAAATAAAAATTATATATATATATATATATATATCAAATATTTATAATATATATTAAGCAGCACAACAGTTTTCAGAATATAGAGAATATATCACAGATTTCAACAGTTATTCTCTCTTTTGTTTTCTATATTTCTATTTTATCAGATATGAACGCAACTGTAAGAATAATTGACCAGTTAACCAACATTCTGGCTCCAATGCTTGTGGGCCAGATCATGTCATTTGGTTCCCATTTCATCGGCTGTGGTTTTATCTCGGGCTGGAACCTGTTCTCCATGTGCTTGGAGTACTTCCTGCTTTGGAAAGTTTATCAGAAGACTCCAGCACTTGCCTTAAAATCAGGACAGAAGAACACAGATGACCAGGAGCTGAAGCATCTCAACGTACAAAAAGGTTTGTAATCCACCCAGACTCCTCTGCCACTTTTCACTAATACAGGTCCTTCTAAAAAAATTAGCATATTGTGATAAAGTTCATTATTTTCCATAATGTAATGATAAAAATTTAACTTTCATCTATTTTAGATTCATTGCACACCAACTGAAATATTTCAGGTCTTTTATTGTTTTAATACTGATAATTTTGGCATACAGCTCATGAAAACCCAAAATTCCTATCTCAAAAAATTAGCATATCATGAAAAGGTTCTCTAAACGAGCTATTAACCTAATCATCTGAATCAACTAATTAACTCTAAACTAGAGGTCTTCACAGTGCACCCGAGACCCGTCGGCCCGGGACCCGACCCGGGACCCGTACGGGTTCGGGTCTGTATTTTAAATGATCAGCCGGGTCCGGGTCGGGTCCGAATCTATTACTTCGGGTCCCGGGTCTGTTTAACATTGTGTGTAATACCAACGCATTCTCATCCTTTAGCGTCATATAGGACGCTATATGACAAAACGGCGAAATACTACTCACATGGCACCCGTTATCGTTAATATAACACGTGCTGAGAACGGGCTGGTAATACACGTGCGATCGGAGTGCAATCTCAAGCGCGTGTCGTTTCTATGGCAACCAGAGCAGAGCTTCCGCCAAAGCGCGCTTTGCATTTTCTCCAATGTTTACAATAATATAAATGCACCGTCTTGTTTAATCTTAAACTTTTAAAGCTGAAATAATGATTGGATTAAGCTTGGAATAACGAGAGAAATAACATGGATAGAACTTTCTTGTCGGTGGATTGTAATGCATCACAGTCAGTCAGGTAACGTAACAAGGAAGTGAGACGACGACTACTAAAATTAGTTAAGACAAAAAGTTTTATTTTTCGCAACTCGTGTGAAATAATATGTGACAATCGGGTCCAGTCGGGTTTGTGTCTTCCTGCCGGGTTCGGGTCCAGTTTTCAAATAGTAGACGGGTCCAGGTCGGGTCGGGGCAGTACATTTATGTCATTTCTCGGGCTGGTTCGGTGTAGCACATTACGGGTCTCTTTCGAGTCGGGCATGATTTTTTGGACCTGTGAAGACCTCTACTCTAAACACCTCAAAAGATTCATTACTCAAAACCGGGTAAGACTGCCGACCTGACTGCTGTCCAGAAGGCCATCATTGACCCCCTCAAGCAAGAGGGTAAGACACAGAAAGACATTTCTGAACAAATAGGCTGTTCCCAGAGTGCTTTATCAAGGCACCTCAGTGGGAAGTCTGTGGGATGGAAAAAGTGTGGCAAAAAACGCTGCACAACGAGAAGAGGTGACCGGATCCTGAGGAAGATTGTGGAGAAGGACCGATTCCAGACCTTGGGGGACCTGCGGAAGCAGTGGACTGAGTCTGGAGTAGAAACATCCAGAGCCACAGTGCACAGGTGTGTGCAGGAAATGGGCTACAGGTGCCGCATTCCCCAGGTCAAGCCACTTTTGAACCAGAAACAGCGGTAGAAGCGCCTGACCTGGGCTTCAGAGAATCAGCACTGGACTGTTGCTCAGTGGTTGCATGTCATTCAGAAATCAAGATGCCAGGGTCTGGAAGAAGACTGGGGAGAAGGAAATGCCAAAATGCCTGAAGTCCAGTGTCAAGTACCCACAGTCAGTTATGGTCTGGGGTGCTGGTGTTGGTCCACTGCGTTTTATCAAGGGCAGGGTCAGTATAGCTAGCTACCAGGAGATTTTGGAGCACTTCATGCTTCCATCTGCTGAAAAGCTTTATGGAGATTCAGCACGACCTGGCACCTGCTCACAGTGCCAAAACCACTGCTAAATGGTTTACTGACCATGGTATTACTGTGCTCAATTGGCCTGCCAACTCTCCTGACCTGAACCCCATAGAGAATCTGTGGGATATTGTGAAGAGAAAGTTGAGAGACGCAAGACCCAACACTCTGGATGAGCTTAAGGCTGCTATCGAAGCATCCTGGGCCTCAATAACACCTCAGCAGTGCCTCCATGCCACAGCGCATTGAAGCAGTCATTTCTGCAAAAAACACTTCTTTTATTGGTCGGATGAAAGAAATTTTGGGTTTTCATGAGCTGTATGCCAAAATCATCAGTATTAAAACAATAAAAGACCTGAAATATTTCAGTTGGCGTGCAATGAATCTAAAATATATGAAAGTTTAATTTTTATCATGACATTATGGAAAATAATGAACTTTATCACAATATGCTATTTTTTTTTAGAAGGACCTGTACAGTACATAGAGTCCCAGTACAGACTATTATCTAACATAAGATTAACATGCAATATTAATCTACCTTAAAACTGTAAAAGTGACTTTCAACCTCCCAAACTTTATGCAGAACCCTGTTACCTATGGATTTTTCCCATTACAAAAATGTAACATTCCTTAAAATTGTGACATCCAGGAAGTAAACATTTCATTTGATCAATAAATTACTCAAACCATAGTGTTAACAAATTTTTTTTCACTAACTATTAACCTGCATATGGCATATTATGAAACTTTTTCACATTGTTTTTTCTTATTTTTTGAAGATTAAAGGACAAGTTCGGTATTTTACAATTAAAGCCCTGTTTTAAGATCGTCCCTGATGAAATAGAATAGTTAAGATTGTTTTTTAGACAGATGCTCCTGTCACGAGAATTTTTGGATTCTGTGTTAGCACCCCCCCACCTTTACAATGGTAGCATAGGTGCACTCGAACAATCATTCATAAAAACGCATACAACTTTAGTTTACAAAGACGTGAAACTCACCGAGTGGTCTGGGGTGTTCACTGATATGCTTGCACAAAAATCGCTGCAAAAGATGCTTTCCAACAGGTTTTATCGTAGTTTTTGTCCGACTTCATTTTCTTCCTGTTTTCGGTCGAAGTCCATAGTAGTAAATTGTCGAGTTCACGTGCGCGATCATTGGTAACTAGATAACTAAGGATCGTGCACGCAAACTCGATAGTCGACTATAGTGGACCAAAAACAGGAAGAAAATGGACTACGATAAAACCTGTTGGAAAGCATATTTTGCAGCGATTTTTGTGCGAGCATATCAGTGAACACCCCAGACCACTCGGTGAGTTTCACGTCTTTGTAAACTAAAAGTTTTATACGTTTGTATGAATGATTGTTCGAGTGCACCTATGCTTTCATTATAAAAGTGTGTGTGTGGGGGGGGGGGGGTGCTAACACAGAATCCAAAAATTCTCGTGACAGGAGCATCTGTCTAAAAAACAATCTTAACGATCTTAAAACAGGGCTTTAATTGTAAAATACAGAACTTGTCCTTTAAGCACTTTTCACTGATCATTTACTTTTTTATTTAGTTTCAAATCCTATTTTGTTCCCTATTTGTTGAAAGTTCCTTTCATTTTGAATTTTCTAAATGCTGAGTGAAATATCCAGTTATTTCTACTGATCTTTACTTTTGTGGTTTTCCTGTTCACTGTTGCAGAGATTGGAACTAGTGAAAGCCCAGTTGAAGGCTCCCAGCTGATGGATGAAACCGCTGAGGTGAAGAAGAATACCAGTTGCTGCTACCAAATGACCGAGCCCATCCGTACCTTTAAGGATGGCTGGGTAGCCTACTACAATCAGTCCATCTTCTTTGCCGGCATGTCTCTGGCTTTCCTCTACATGACCGTTCTGGGCTTCGACTGCATCACCACGGGCTACGCGTACACTCAGGGCCTGAACGGCTCTGTGCTCAGTCTCCTCATGGGAGCCTCGGCTATATCTGGAATCTGTGGAACGGTGGGCTTCACCTGGCTCAGAAAGAAGTGCGGCCTGATCAGAACCGGCTTCATCGCCGGAGTCATCCAACTGTCTTGCCTCATGCTCTGCGTGGCATCCGTCTTTGCTCCCGGCAGCCCTTTCGATCTCAGCATCTCGCCCTTCGAAGAGGTCTTGAAACATCTGTTCGGAGACAGCGGCTCGCTGCGTGAGAGTCCTACTTTTGTTCCTACAATTGAACCACAGATTCCGACAAATGCCACTGTTTTTGAGGAAGCCCCCCAAGTGGAGTCCTACATGTCTGTCAGTCTTCTCTTCGCCGGTGTCATTGCTGCTAGAATCGGTAAGTAAATGAGCAACCAACAGGATACGGGTTGTATTTAGTCCTTATTTTCCATTATCTTCAAGAAGAGGAGAGTGATATCCATATCTTTTTATCACCTGAGAGTTATAAAGCCGACCTTTGAGACCAAATAACAACAAGTCATGTTTGTGATAATTGTGTCCTGGTGCTCTTTATATGTCACAATTTAGGTTTTAATTGTTTCTGTTAAATTGCTTCCAGGTCTTTGGTCTTTTGACTTGACCGTGACCCAACTGATCCAAGAGAATGTGATTGAGTCCGAGAGAGGAATCATCAATGGCGTCCAGAACTCCATGAACTATCTACTTGATCTCCTGCACTTCATCATGGTCATCCTTGCACCAAATACCGAGGCCTTCGGCCTTCTCGTGATCATCTCGGTTTCCTTCGTTGCAATGGGACACATGATGTATTTCAGGTTTGCCTTTAAAACCCTCCGAAGTCGACTCTTCCTGTTCTGTTCGCCCGAGCAGAAGCCAGATCCCAATGTTCCCTCACTTTCCAACTCTGTATAACTATTTAAAGAGACCGTAAGCTAACTTCTACTTGTTTCGCATGCCACGTTCTTTAAAAACGTCGCCAGGAACCCATTCCATCTCTTTTACTAACATGCATGCTTTTGCAGTGAGTAAAAATTCTTCTCCATTAGTTAAGATAACAAAGAGATGGAGAGATTATGCATGTCAAAAAAGCATACTTTGCTTCCCTTGTTTTTTGTGTTCGAGGTGCTGTAAAAATGCCAGAGAAGTAATTCTCACAAATGGGAACTATGGTTCTTACGTGATATACCATGCTTTAATAACTCCGAAGCAAAAATTGGCATATTTATTCTATTTTTACATATTTTATATATTGTTTTTTTTTTTTTTTCAACTTTATGCTCATAGTTAATCTTCAGACTAGGTATGTGAGTTTAGCAATGTGTTCTACTTAAGATAGAGTAGTTTTGTAATGTTTGCCCCTCAATGATTTTTACAAGCCATGGTTAAAGTCTCTTTTATAGTTATTTTGAGTGTTCTAGTTATTCATTCAGTTATGCTTCTATAATGCTTATATATTTATATAAATGTAGTCAGTATTCTTTATCTCAGCTTCGGTGGTGCTATTATTACAACTCTTCTGGAAAGCAATGCAGACATTTATACAGTTTGTAACCAAAGTTGACTTTTTTTCACCATGTGGAAGTGAGGGAATTGCATCTGTTTTCTTGTTAACATCCCTGATATTAGTGCTGTGAACATTTCTTGGAGATTTAGGCCTTGAGACACTCACCCCATTGCAACTAGTTAACTCTAGATTTGTGTTCTGTTTGATTAGAAAGTGATTTTTAGCACTTGATTGTTTTTTTGCAAAGATTTTTACACAAGCACTTTACGCGATTACACTTTGTCCGTTTCGAAATAAGTACGACACACTTCAGGTTTAAGGTATTTGCACACAATTGATTCTTTGCCACCAAAGTTCAGTCAGGCAGGAATTCAGACATTTTATCTTGCAGTTCTGCATCAAAACTGGAAGATTGTCATATTTGCTTCAAAGGTAGTAACAAAAATGGGATTTTTTTTAGGAGAACTAAAATCTCTAAGACACCCTCATGATTTTTACTGCCCTTTAAGTGATGCCACACCTCAGTTTTCCCTTCATGAAAATCATATGCTAATCTAGAACCAAGTAAACAATTTTTAGGTCTATGGCCACAAACACTCAGGCACCAACATCCTTTTGAAAACCACTGCTGGCTTGACATATAGTTGAGGTATTTTGTCAGTTGTGTAATATTGAGGTTGGACACCAGCAGGGCTCCACCATATGCACAGGAAAGAGAAGGGATTGAGTCCAATGTGGACGGCTGGTTTGAAGTGCAGCTGGTCACAAATGCAGGTGGCCAAGTGAAGTCAATGATTTTTGACATCACTTGTCAAGTAAGCATTTTTAATGTTTCATGAGGCCCTTCTGGACATACTGTCGGTCTTTAAACTCTTACTTCATTGCGTCAGTGCATATCGTCTGTATTTCTGTGAATGTGAAGCCTTATTTACATCTGTAAAATGTTTTTATATTCTTGTGTTGACTACTATTGTAATTCCGTTTTGTCCTATGTAATGCCACACAGATCACCTTGCCCTTGACTATTACAAAATGAAACACTTGTACTTGCAATAAATTTTACTTTTAAAATCCAGTTGAATGTAATGTAAGAACATCCATTATCTTTGTAGGAGCATATTGATTCTGTTCCTGTTGTGTGGTATACTTGCAATAATTGTGCTTCATACTCCAATGCAGGGGGAATATACAATTTGTACTGCATCTCACTTCAACCGAAATAAACAGATTTGTACCCAAATGCAACGTTCGAGTGGTTGAAATACGTAAGGGGGTTTAAGGCGTCGACTGTGAACCCGCAGGAGCAGCAATTGTACAGGGTCACATTCCTCAGAATGGTTTGCTGTTAATTTTCTCTAAAAGGCTCTTTCAGACTTTTTTGGGGTTAATGCATTGACTAAAAGCTGAGTTGAGCTTGGCTTGCATGAGAAGTAAAGACAAAGAACGACCTGAATACTTGCCAGTAACAAACGCAATGCCTTCCATTCTGGGTGGGCGGCAAATCAGGCTGACCTGGCAGGTCTAGAATTTGTATGCAACTGAGTTAACTGTGTTTTTACAGTGCGGAACATCTATGTAGACGGCCAAAAACTATAAAGGCTGAATGTACTCTTATTAGTTGAAGCCTGAAGCAAACTGGGAGCAAAGCTCAACTTAAAATTCGACTTTGCTTGAACTAGAAATCACGACGTGGGTAAGAGATAAGATATTCTCCCGTGTGAAATAACCTCTGTTCTGAGCAATTAATTTTGTACCACATCAGTCCTAAAAAGGCACATCATAACCATGACCTTTGATACATTTCCTGGAAAGCAGTTCTAATACATAAGGGGTTGACATTGGGTTACATTAGTACACAGAAAAACAACAACAGGATTGAAGGAACTGTGAGGTGTTACCAACATATGATCGATCTATCTATCTATCTATCTATCTATCTATCTATCTATCTATCTATCTATCTATCTATCTATCTATCTATCTATCTATCTATCTATCTATCTATCTATCTATATCTATCTATCCATCTATCCATCTATCTATCTATCTATCTATCTATCTAGACCAGAAAGTTACAAAATCAATGCACAATTACACCAAAATAAATTTCACAGCACATTGTTCAAAAAAGTCCTTTATAAATTAATGTTAATGAAACTGGGATAAACATTACACTAACATTCAGAATTACAAAATAGTATTGTCCTTTTTGTTCCAAAGAGAATCATTCTCAAATCCCTAGTGCGTTGCGGCAATCCGATAAAAACAACTGCTAACCAACCACCATTCTGGGTTTGAAGAAAGTTTAACACATTAACAGGATCGTGAATTTGCATCGTCACGGTTTGGAGACAATGAGGCCAGTGATCCAGCTAAAGTCAGTCTTTCTGACCCTTTTCAGTTCCCTCTCTTGTGCTTTAGACAGCTTCGGCGTCACCTCATCCACTGAACCCTGGGCTCTGAGCTCCTGCTGACCATCACGGGTCTCCATTTCCCCCTCGGAGTCCTCTTCCTCTTCCTCTTTCTCACTCTCCATATCCTGATCTGAAGACTCCATTTCCTCTCTTTGGATCATAACAGCAAAAGCATAATTATTAAATCAATGGGCTTGCAATACAGATTTAATACAAAAAGGAGAAGGGAAACTGAGAAATAGGCACGTTTACTGCAGTTAACTTTCAAAGAAAACATATTGTGCATGTACGGAAAATCCAGAGGGGGTCTTACCGGACTCCAGTGTTGGAGATCAGGAGGGAATTGACAAATATTGAGCACAGGACTGAAGCAGCAGGTAGAACATGAGCTGGTGTGTTTAACAACTAAAAAAAAATATAAAAAAAAAAGATCAGAGGATGTAACAAGAACTAAATACTTCCATATCCATTTTTATATTCCCACCCAAGTAAAGCTGGATGATATTAAATACTGGTGAAATAAAGCAATATTGATTGATTTCTATGCATGTTTTGGCCATATCTAGATTTTAATATAATATATGTTTGATTTGTAAATGGCAAAGCCGAGTAAGAAATCAAATGTCAATTATATAGATCAGTCTCATATAGAACAGTCTTTTCAACAAATTCTTACAAATCTTCAAATTATCATAGAACTACTAGGATATAGTTCGGACAAACACTGATTTCTACAGAAATGTTCAAAATAGAGCAAATTATCTTTTGGAATTAACTTGGCGCCTCAAAAACCAAAAATTATTTAATTGAATTATTCATTCAAGAGATTCATTTAAAAACACTGATTCATCCAGTAGAGCTGTAACGGTACACAAAAATCACAGTTTTAAAGTCACGGTTCGGTGCGTTTTTGATACAGCAAAAAGAAAGAATTGTTAAAAGAAAAATTAGTTTTTTAAATAAGTGTGAGTTTTCCTACATCTTGAAACTTTCAGATTTATAAATGGGGGTCATCTTTGAAGGATGAACAAATAATGTTTTGGTCATCACATTAAAAATAATAACATTTAAATATATATTAATTTTAGGGCTGTATTTTAATCGCATCCAAAATAAAAGTCTGTGTTTCCATAATATATTTGTGTGTGCTGTATATAATTATTTCGTATATATAAATACACACATATGCATGTATATATTTAAGAAAATGTTTTATTCGTATATAAAATACTTATATTTATATAATATAGATTATGTATTTATGTATTTATATATATATATATATATATATATATATATATATATATATACAGAATTTAAGTGCAAATAATTCTTAAATATATACATGCATGCATAGGTAATTATATATACAAATAATTATATACAGCACACACAAATATATTATATATTAACACAGACTTTTATTTTGGATGCGATTAATCGCAATTAATTTTTGCACAGCCCTAATTTATTTATATCATATTTGAGTTTTGAAGTGCTGGAAAAAGATGTGTGAAGTACTTGAAAGCATTTCACTATTCCAGCCAAACTGTGTTACTATATTAAACCCATGGTGAATGTTGCTAGTCTGTGGACGTAAAGTGTTACTAGTTCATTCACGGCACAATGTTTCTCCTGGTTTCCAAGTCAGCGCTGTTTGATCTTATAGAGATCTACGGTTAATAACGGAGAAATGTGAATGCTTCTCACTAGATCTCGCAGCGATGTTATTACTTCAGTGGCGAATTCAAATGTTTTCTTTACTGGATCTCTTAGCACCGAGTAGTAACAGTGTCGCTTGATCGAGATCGGCTCGCGCTGCACAGATGTTGCTTGTCCGAACTGATAAACGATCCGTGAAACAAACCTGGTGGAGTTTTGGTTCCTTGCCACTGTTGCCTTGCTTTTTTGCTTAGTTGGGGACATTTAATATTTGACAATATTATTGATCTGTGTTGTATTATTTTCATGTTATCACGGTGAAGCTGCTTTGATACAATCTGTATTGTAAAAAGCGCTATATAAATAAATGTGACTAAATTTGACTGACTTGTAGTGTTGTTTTTGGCAGCCTGTTTCAATTTTAGTTTTAGTCTATTCTTTGTGTCAAGCTGACATTTTAGTTTTTATTAGTTTTAGTCACGTTCATACTCTTTTTAGTCTAGTCTAGTTTTAGTCGAAAACTAATGACATTTTAGCCTAGTTTTAGTCAACGAAAACCGATGACATTTTAGTCTAGTTTTAGTCGACGAAAGACATACTCTAGTTTTAGTCAATGAAAATTGTATTTTAGTCTCTTTTTAGTAGGCAATTCTATTTAACCCAGTCAATATATAAGTAGCTAGTAGGCTAGACTATAGACGAAACCAAATTTTTTTTTTAGCCAAACCCATTTCAAACAATTTTATCTTACTTATCTTATAGACCATTTCACAAGATGTAAACAACACTGGTCCAGAAGCACTTCCTGTTTCAGTTTTTTAACACTAAATAAAAGCTGGGATAAAATACAACCAACAGAACATATAAAACTGAATCAAAAAGTTAAACAAACATCTTTAAAATGTTTTCTTTACATGTGAAATAAAGAAAACAGTCTCAAACTGAAACAGGAAGTGCTTCTGGACCAGTGTTGTTTACATCTTGTGAAATGGTCTATTATCTTCTTATATTATTGTTACCTTATAGACTCAAGAATACATCCATTCCAGACACGGAAGACTCTCTGAATAAAATTTACAACATATTTACCAACCAAACATGTTAGAAGTAGCCTACACAAATGATGAAATGAAAGTTTTTCCAAATGTCATTTCTTCTTTTTCTCCCAAAGACGAATCCCTTTCTCTGTGTCAGACTTAACTTTGTTGTCGTTTATGCTAATGCCTGTTTCACACACCGTTTGCAGAGCGTATTTTTCCAGCACATGTTGCAGTAATAGATTAGCGCTCATACCACGCGCTCTAGGAGCGGTGCGTGCATAACAGCAGAGCAGAGATCAATTGCATTATACATTTTGTTATAATAGTCATCGTCACACGACCAGCATTTACGTTGCGTCTCGTTTTCGTCAAGTGATAAAGGTTCGTTGACGACAATATTTAGGCATAATTTTCGTTGACGAAAGCAACGCTACTGACTTGAAACACATAAATGAGTAGCGCAGTTTCGTTCCGCTTGCCATTTGATGTTGCGCAATGCTGTGGTGGCTGCGCCAGCGCGAATTTTGTCGGCAGGAAAATGATCCAAGGAATCGTTCGGTTTGTATGCGTACCGAACCGGAAGCTTCGAACCGAAACGGTTCAACACGAATTAAAATTAAAATATTAAAATATTATAATAAAATAAAATAAAACGAATATATTAAAATAAAACCAATTAAAATATTTTAAATAGACTGCAGCAATTTACATTTAGTCATTCAATTACATGTTAATGTAAATTACGTTATTTTGTTTGTTTAGAACCTTGAATCGTGAGCCCATCCTACTTACTTGTTTGATGGAAACTGAGCCCTGTTTCTGTTGGGGTTTGTCATCCACTGGATGGGATGGTGTGTGGAGTTTCTGCTGCTGCTGCTGTCTGTGTTTGCCCAACAGCAGGTAAAACGGAGTTACAGCAACGCTGTCATCAATGACAAGCTGTACCAACGAAACACATGAAAAATGACTTGTTTGGGGGGCCACAAAATAATTGAGCATAAGGGCAGAGCAAGAAAAACAAAAACTGTACCCGTTTACTTGATGACAACATTCTGTCCTCCTCTGTTGCCATGCTGAAGGTCAATAAATCCTAATAATTTAAGAGTTCATTTTAGTAAAATGTTAAGACACAACATGCACGGTATATCACATTTACACTGCACCCACATTTTTCCATGACTTGATTTTTCATATATTATATATATATATTTATATTTATATATATATATATATATATTTAAATAATATTATATAAATATAATATTGACTTACTATAATAAATATAATTTATTACACATTTAATAATTAAAAACACTTTTCACTGACACTAACAAACTGGTTCAGGTCGTTTCATTTATCACGTACCATGTTTTGGGTGAGGAAGTACAGTTGAGATCTGTTGAGCCACTGGCAACTTTCATCACATCCATTCAACGGCTCCTCTCGAGGAACAAAAATGGCATGATGTACCTTTTCTGAACACACTTTCTCATGGGTGAACAGAGGCAACGGCTCGCTGGGTTTGAAAACAAACACTGTACAGGGACCAGAGAACACATTAAAAGCAGCTTGTGAATGAGTCTGAATAATGATCATGACACATTAAAGAAAGAAACCAAGAGCAATCAATCATAAATACACACTATTGCCAAGGCTAAGTACACACTGTAAAGTTTCAGGAGTGAAAACCACATTTAAATGCAGGAGTGAGTCTACTAAAATATTGTTCTGTACAGTATGTTTACGGAACATGACTCGCTCCCAAAACCATGATGATTGACATTGTGGTAAAAATAGCAACGTTCTGGCGTTTTTGGTAACCGCTATTCTGACCAAAGAAATATTAGTGACAAAAACCTTGTTGTGTTGAGCAATCTTGAGTAAAGCACAGTCGAGAAGGCGTCAGCTTCACGCTCTTGCGGTGTTGCCATGTCCAAAGCGTTTTTAGGCTTGTCGTTTAAAGGAGTAGTTCACTTTAAAAAAAACTTTTGCTGATAATTTACTCACCCCCATGTCATTCAAGATGTCCATGTCATTCTTTCTTCAGTCGAAAAGAAATTAAGGTTTTTGATGAAAACATTCCAGGATTTTTCTCCATATAATGGACTTCAATGGGAACCAAACGGTTCAAGGTCCAAAAGACAGTTTCAGTGCAAACTGCAAACTGTTCAAAGGGCTTTAAACGATTCCAGACGATGAAAAAGGGTCTTATCAAGAGAAACGATCACTCATTTTAAAAAAAACAACAATGTTTAAGTTTTATAAGCTCAAATGGTCGCCTTGCTCTGTTCTGTGATGCGCGTTTATGACTTTCCTGTTCGAACTCATTCATCAAAATGAACAAATCTTTTTTCGTGTCATTTGGTTCATTCAACGAACGAAATGAACGAGTTGACTCGGGAAAAGATTCGTTCATTTTGATGAAAACGCGCATCACAGAACAGAGCAAGGAGACCATTTGAGCTTATAAAACAAACTTTCTTTTTTTTTTTTTTTTTTTAAATGAGCGATCATTTCGCTTGTTAAGACCCTTATTCATCATCTGGAATCGTTTAAAGCCCTTTGAACAGTTTGAACTGAAACTGTCTTTTGGACCTTGAACCGTTTGGTTCCCATTGAAGTCCATTATATGGAGAAAAATCCTGGAATGTTTTCATCAAAAACCTTAATTTCTTTTTGACTGAAAAAAGAAAGACATGGACATCTTGGATGACATGGGGGTGAGTAAATTATCAGCAAAAGTTTTTTTTAAAAGCGAACTACTCCTTTAAACTTGCTCATAAAGTAATGGAGTTTCCAGAGTTATTAAAGTCAGTAGGTGAAGGTCACGATCGTGGTCTGAGCTGTCGACACGACAGATCTCGTCACAGTTGTTTTTGTTGGTGCGTCCGGCGATGCGAATAGAGGCCGAACCTTTGGCCTTATTATCAGCATAAAGCATTTGGAGTTATTTCGGTTTATTGTGGGCTTGTTTGCTGTTTTTCTATCAATATCTGGCAAGTTGAGGCTTGTACCACTTTCCCTTTGCTTTCTTGCAATGCACAAAGAAGAGAGAAACATTTCTGATCCATGTTAAAATACAACTAACAACTAGCTGTTCAGTTCGGTTCTGTACACTGCATAGAACGTTTGTAAATGCCTTTGTCATTACCTACATTTTGAGAGTTAATTCGGTAATTCGTAAATTCCTCAACCGAGTGTGTACATAACAGGCTTAAGCACTAAAAGGTGAATTAACAACTGAGTTTTGTTGCAGTGTGTACATGGCCCAAATGTATTGCTGACCAAATAAAAGGAGATGAGGAATGTCAAGAAGCAGTGATCTTTCAAACACTTACGATCTGTATGTTTAGACTGGTATGAAAAGGCAGCCACATTTTCTGACATGGGGTCCGGCTGCAGCTTGGAAACTTCCAAAGATGTGCTCCATTCCACTGTGAAAAAGAGATTTGACTAAGTAAATCTGACCATGCAAAAACAAACAGTGGAGAAAAAAAAAAAACAGGCTGAACAAGTCTAATAAGACAGAGGTTCACCGTATTCCAGCCATTATTTACTCACTCTAATGTTTTTCAAACCTTTATACTGTTGTTTTTTTAAAAATAGTAACCAATGGCTATCCAACTCCTAAACTGACCAAAAAGCCCATGAAAGTACCATAAAAGCAGTTCATGACAGATTACAAGTCAAGCTTGACAGACAATTTTGCTATGAAATGCCATTTTATGAAAAAAAGAGATGTTTTAAAATGTCTATTTTGTGTCTTGCAGAAAAAAAAAAAAGTCAACAGATTGTTTCGAACAACTTGAGGGTGAGAACATAAAGGTAATTTTATTTTTGGGTGAGCTATCCCTTTAAGCTGGCTCTTTCAACCAATGCCTCACATCACGGCAACATTTCAAAAGCAACTGAACCAATATTAATACTGTACTTACAAGCACAAGTGAGGAGATTCCAGCAGCAGAGAAGGTTATTGGTGGTGGTGCCAAGCAGGTATTTGGAGCAGCTTAATCGGCCGAAACAAAGCTCCCTGGTGGATCAAAGTAGCTGCCATTAGTCGGTTTCACCGATTCAAAGACCACCGTGATCAGAAAGGCCCATTTTACTTGCATATTTCATCAGATTAGTCTCAGTGCATGATAATCAGTAGCCTTACTGTTAATGAGAAACTGTAATACGAGTCAACGAACAGTATCAAAAACATTTAACAATAAATATGACTGACTTATTACAATTGTCTAGACTATAAATAAACAAATAGATTTACTTTTTTGTGGGATAATAATGATCAATCATGGGCAAAGCTACCCACGATTTGACATCTCAACAAATCAGTGATAGGATTTGAAATGCTGTACAAAGCCGATTTAGCACTCGCTGACATACCATACACACACATATAAACACACACACGATTATTAGGAACAATTTCTCATTAATGCAATTATCTAATCAGCCAATCACATGGCAGTTGACAATTTCCTGAACTCCAAACTGAATGTCAGAATGGGAAAGAAAGGTGATTTAAGCAATTTTGAGCAATCTGCTCAGTTACTGGGATTTTCACGCATGACCATTTCTAGGGTTTACAAAGAATGGTGTGAAAAAGGAAAAACATCCAGTATGAGTCAGTCCTGTGGGCAAAAATGCCTTGTTGATGATAGAGGTCAGAGGGGAATGGGCCGACTGATTCAAACTGATAGAAGAGCAAGTTTGACTGAAATAACCACTCGTTACAACGGAGGTATGCAGCAAAGCATTTGTGAAGCCTCAACACGCACAACCTTGAGGCGGATGGGCTACAACAGCAGAAGACCCCACTGGGTACCACTCATCTCCACTACAAATAGGAAAATATTTATTTATTATTATTTTTTTGACCTTCTATTTTGAGCTTCATAAATCATAATACATTCTACAGTAAAAAATAAACTACCTTTAAAGAAGGTTTACACAAAAAGTGAAAATTCTTTCATCATGTTGTCATGACAAATGGAGACATTTCCCGCAGTACTGTTCATGTTTTTTGAGCAATTACAAAATAGCACAAACTCAAATGAGTCCAATTAGTGAACATGTCATTTAGAACAGTTTTGTGAACTGGACCAACCAGTTCACTGGAAAAATCTGACACAAGAGACATTTTCTTATCAAAGTCAATAACTGCGTTAAATTTCAATCTTTTCATCTCACAAAGTTATCTTAAAAATATTTTTTTTATAGTGCTGCTAGCCTTGTTTCCATTGCAAATTTGCACAAAACGTTTGCGTTGTTTTCCAAATCTAGATAAATAATATGGCATATCTATTAACCGATGTAACTAAACATATCTTTTTCCTTCTCGCGATAAATCATTTCAATAAACATAGCAAAGGATGTTGGTTGGTATGTATTGGCCATTACTCTTTAATAAAAAGAGACGCGCGTTATCCAAGCATTAGCAGCCACGTATGAGGTGTTTCTCCCTCCTATGTGTTTCGAAGTCTTGACTTGTAGCATTTCTGTGTTGTTTTGAATACAGTATTCCCGAAATTTTGTCTTTTGAGTTTAATAAAGAACTCTTGTTTTGTCTTCTGCCCAAACATACCACCTCATATTTAAAGAATGATTGACTTTTACGTATGCCAGGCGACCTTGTGAAATATTCCTTATTTGAAAAGCCTGAAAGACCACCTCATGAGAGTATAAAAACGTTTTCGTGATATTATGGGTGTTTTTGTTAAATTGACTTGTTTCCATTTCGCGGATTTTCAAGTCGCAAAATTTCAATTTGCGCAATTTGAAGGGTAATGGAAACGCAAAGTAAACTAAAAGTAACTAATGCTTTGCTTGCGTTTCACAAATAAACTTGGACCATCATAATGTTGAATAAATTACAGATTTTTCATGTTTGGGAGACCAATTTACTTGTCAGGATCCTTGACTTTCTAACTTCGATACGATAGCTTGAATAAAAGATCTATATTCAATAGATTTTTGAAACCACAAGGAAAAATTGCCACAACATTAAAGTGATAGTTCATTATTTACTCACCATTATGTCATCCGAGACGTATGAGTGACTTTCTATAGATAAACACAAACCAAGATTTTTAAAGAGCACCTATCATGGATTTTTGAAAATGACTGTTCATGTAGTGTGGAATATAGCTCTAAGGGAATGAAAACATCCTGCAAAGATTTCTATCTGAAAGTGCACCGTGTATAAAGTTATTGTCTTTCAAAAGTGAGAGTCGACTCTGAGTCTATGAAATGAATTGTTTTTGAAACGAGTCATTAGCTGTTACATCGTGACGTAGAGAGGTCATTGGCCGCGCCCAGTTACTGCGCGCGCATACGGAAGTGTAAACTTGAAGTGACGTCTAGAACACATTCAAATACTTCAGCTGAGACAGTGTCATGTCGAGAAGACGCTGTGTTCAACATTGCAAAGACAGTTCAGCCACTTGTTTTCATTGTCCAGGGACGAGCATGTGAAGAATCAGTTCATTTTTGCAACGATACCACAACAGTATAGCCCGAACCTTGTGTTCTCATCATTTTAATGGCGAATCATTCAAAAACATAAATGAATTCAAATGTGGATTCGCAAGCCGGTTGTTCCTGAAGGATGGCTCAGTATCCAGTGTATATGGATCAGGTTCGTCCTCCTCCGAATCACAATCTGTAAGTATTATTAATAATGTTTGCTGTTTTGTTTTCTGTAGCATACACACTATAGTTATATTGTGTTGTGTGTGTTGTGTACACTCCGCGCAGCTTCTAAGCGGTGTAAAGTTAGTTTTGTTTTTGATATTCACCAGACATTCATTAAAAAATGGCAATTACCTCCTAAACGACTTAGCCAAATATGACTTCGCTCTATATAATAAGCAATGTGAGTTTCACCAGGAAAGCTCGCTCTTGACGGAGACGCGAGTAAGGGACCGTGTGGAAAGTGCACTTTTCTGACACGTTTGTTCAAACACTATATTCAATTTTCAACACTTGACAAGCTATAATCCTGGTTATGGGCGTTCCGTTGCCGACAGTCTCTGCTTACGGTTTACCAATAACAACTGACTGGGTCATTTGACCAATCGCCGCAGATTCACGTCACTCAAAGGAGGTGTTTGGGAAAATGAATCGTCGAACGAATCATTTGGGAGTCGTTGAGCAAATCAGTTAAAAATAAATGCATATTATAAGACAAATAAAGTGTTTTTTATCCTTGCATGCACGATAAACTGTTTTTGGGAACTCCCAAAACAAAAATAGGAACATTTCAAATGCTATGATAGGGGCTCTTTAAGAAAATAATACATCTCTGAGTCAAACAAGCAGAAGCCATTCAAATGGCATTATGGACTATAATATGGATTATTTGCCTTAAACTTGGTTTGTGTTTATCTGAAGAAAGAAAGTCATGTCGAGGATGGCATGAGGGTTAATGAACTTTCATTTTTAGGTGAACTACTCTTTTAAGGGAATAAATTCTTAGTACGGTAACATTTAAATGGTTTCTTAAGTTTGATAATTAATCTGCTAGGTCATGTTTACAACAGGTTGTGTTGTCTTAGTTATGCCAAGTTGTCATGGCAAAGACACTGACAGGTTATGATGTATTGGTTTATGTCAAGGTGTCATAAAGACATCTCAAACAATGTCACATTTGCATTAAAAATGTCATAATTGAGCGAATGACACATTGACAGTGGTCGTAAACATGCAAGAAACCTCTTTCAAATTCATGACATGCCTCATGTTGTGATTATGAAGTTGCCATGCACACCCCTTGAAGTAAAGCGTTACCTTCTTTACTTTTGATCATAATCAAGTAAAGATATAAATATATAACTATATATAAAGTATTTTCTCATCAACAGAAACCATGTTGTCTGAGATTTGGGCCGCCTGATAGCTCCATTAATAATAAATTTTTTTTTCATTAAATTAAAAATAAATATTTCATAAGCGTAACTGGTGCACATTGCATTCCCAAATACACGATAAACTCAGCACATGAGCTGGAGTTAATGCCATTCATTGTAAAATGAGACCCTTCGCTCTGAAACACGCAGCGTAATACTTATTTAATTCAAATGCACACTGAAATGCGTCTCTTCGCTGTCAGAGAGAAGAGAGCAAGAAAGCACATCTTGTATCAGTGCATCGATACTGCAGAAAATTAATTAAACTATTTCAAATTTCAGTATTGAAAATTTGACAACACTACAATTTACAGCTTTGGTAATGCAGGGGAAAAAGGAAGAACTGAGAACAGTTGACAAAGAATGTTATGCACTTTTGATCACGACGTACCCTAAACTTCCTTTTTTCTCAAAAACAACGACAGAGTGAAACTGTGTCCCTCGAGACCCTGCAGAGGTTGGCTTGCACCCAACTCCTTAAGCAGGACTAAATCCCCAGTCTCTAAAACTTCATTGAAGTTACTACCACTCAAACTGTCCGGACAGCCAGAAAAGAACTCAGGGAATGCAACCCACTGCTCTGCATGGGACACACCCCTAATGGCTGTCGGTTCACAATAAGGACACAGAAATCCATTCAAAGCACATCAGAAAGAGTTTAGACTGGCTGATTTGGAGACAGGAAAACATCTAGTACCACCTTATTTGTCCAGGTGGTTGGCAGAGGGTGGTGAGCAGCTCCCAGGTGTCCGGGCTCCATATGGTGACCACTTCTTGGAAGCTCACCGCCAGTAGAGAGCTATCGGCTGAGAAACTGCAGTTGGTGGGCTTTAAGTTATGGTAGTTTCCCACAAAATCACATGACCAGAAGTTCTGGTCCTCTAAAACAGAAATGGAAACGTTGCGGTGAGACAGGTATGTCTGGATTCAGACTCATGATCTTTGGCCAACATTAACACCTTTGTAAACGTCTGGAGGGTTTGACTCACGTTGAGTGTCTGCGTCAGCACCCGGACACCATGCTTTGAACTGGCCGTCTTCTGCTGTGGTCACCAGCATGGTGGTCTCCTCAGAAGAGCTGAAGCACATGGATATAATCCGATCCGTGTGGGCGGCAGAGATACTAGTGTTCAGAACGAAGCTAATGGGACAGAACAATACACAATTACAGTCAGAAATAAAGCCTGTTTAGAAATATGAAACTTTCAGTTTCAGAAAAGTCAGTTTCTTTATAAAAAAAACCCCTTTAATTCCACAAGGACTCATGAAAGAGACAGTTAAAACATTTAAATAAATGCTTACCTTTATTTCTCAGGATTCTTTGATTAATTGAATCAAGGTTTCCAGACATATTAAATCAACACAATTGTGTTCAACATAGAAAAAATAATAAAAAAATGTTTCTTGAGCACCAAAATAGCATATTAGAATGATTTCTGAAGGATCATATGAAACTGAAGACTGGAGCTTATAATTGATGAAAGTTCAGCTTTAACATCACAGGAATAAATAACATTTGAAAATATATATTTAAATAGAAAACAGTTATTTTAAATAGTTAAATTTCACAATTTTACAGTATTTTGGATCAAGTAAATGCAACCTTGTTGAGGATAACCGACTTAATGTTCATGTTTTTTTTAATCGCTGACCCCAAACTTTTTAATAGTGGTGTAAAAAAATATATATAAATTTTTGCCACTGCACTGCTAGCAAAATGTTCTTTGACAAACCTGCAGCAAAAATACATGTCTAAAAGCTAATAAAAATAAAATTAATAATGAAATTATTATAATGAACAAGAAAATGTATACACAGTTTATGTAATGTTTTGGGATTTAGGAGCACCTAAATATTTGATGGAAGTGATTTACGTGTGGACCGTGACAAATATTTTACATTATTCAAATTTCATAAGTTGACCTCAGACAACAATATAATAAAATTTAAAAAGCCAGTTCATGACCCCTTTAATCCATTCAATGGCGCTCAAAATGCGAGAGGGAAATGCTGGTATCGTCACATTTTTAAAACTTCAGTACCGGCTTTTTTGAAAACACTATTCCATACTAGCATGAATACCTTTGCGTTGTCTCATCGAAAGCCCACAGTTTGAGAAAAAACTCAAGATCTGAGGATTCTCGTCCCCTTTCCTCCACTGTAGCAAGCCAGGAACCTTTTACGTCAAAGACAGCCTTTACCACTTCAAACTGATCCAGACCGGCTTCATAAATATATTCTTGCTGCACTATGTCCAGCTGTGAATACAACAAAAAGACTGTTTTGTACACATTTATCCAAAATATGAAATAAATAAATATATTTTCTCATGAAAATGGGCCCACATATCATGTGATTTCACCTGACATGTTCTTGCAACAGTCAATGACCCGTGTCAGCAGAACGCACAACTAATAAGTCATGTGATTATAGATTTTCCAAAACATTCTTCCCCATATACTTGCTTATGCTTGAGAAAAGTTAGGCTTTAACGTAGCATCGACACTTTTACACTCACATTGTAGAGATGCTTGTCACGTAACAGGGAGTAGAACTGCAGATGTCCCGGTTTCCCATTCAGCACTAAAGCTTTACTGCGCGGATCAATCATTAGATCAGTCAAAACGGCATCACCTGAAAGCATCGGAAGAAATAAACTTTTACTGCCATAGTTGTGAAGTCCAAACGGTTCGTGCAAATGAGACTTTACAAACCTGTGACTAAACCCTGAATCAATCCAGACACTTTGAAGTTGCTCTCGATAACTGTGATCTCTGAGGAGGAAGAGAAGGAAAATGACAATCCAGAAAGCAGTGCAAAATTATACCATACTGAAATATGGGGCCAGAGACTGACTCGATCTGTCAATTTCACAAAATCCCCAGGTTGTAATTCATCCACAAAATAATAAAAAAAATACTTTACATAAAGTGAAGCCATTTAGTTTTTCTGAAATGAAACATTTGGCAATTTCTGCCCATATTTTCATTAGCTTGATCAAGGGTGATGTTTACAAGATTATATAATAAACCGCTAATCAGGTAGAGAAAGATTTCTTATGCTCACAAAGGCAGCATTTATTTAGTCTTAAAGGAGTAGTTCACGTTTAAAAAAAACTTTTGCTGATAATTTACTCACCCCCGTGTCATCCAAGATGTCCATGTCTTTCGTTTTTCAGTCGAAAAGAAATTAAGGTTTTTGATTAAAACATTCCAGCATTTTTTTTCCATATAATGCACTTCAATGGGAACCAAACGGTTCAAGGTCCAAAAGACAGTTTCAGTGCAAACTGCAAACTGTTCAAAGGGCTTTAAACGATTCCAGACGATGAATAAGGGTCTTATCAAGCGAAAAGATCGGTCATTTAAAAAATAAATAACAAAGTTTAAGTTTTATAAGCTCAAATGCTCGCCTTGCTCTGTTCTGTGATGCGTGTTCGTGACTCTCCTGTTCGAAAATCTTATTCCGAGTCAATTCGTTCATTTCATTCATTGAATGAACCAAATGACTCGAAAACACAGAACAGAGCAAGACGACCATTTGAGCTTATAAAACTTAAACTTTGTTTTTTTTTGTTTTTTTTAAATGAGTGATCGTTTTGCTTGATAAGACCCTTATTCATCGTCTGGAATTGTTTAAAGCCCTTTGAACAGTTTGTAGTTTGCACTGAAACTCTCTTTTGGACCTTGAACCGTTTGGTTCCCATTGAAGTCCATTATATGGAGAAAAATCAAAAACCTTAATTTCTTTTCAACTGAAGAAATAATGAGATGGACATCTTGGATGACACGGGGGTGAGTAAATTATCGGCAAAAGTTTTTTTTAAGTTAATTATTCCTTTTAGCCCGGGACACACCAAGCTGACGTCAAAGAACTAGCGGAGACGAAAGCAGACTCTGTTGTTGCCTTTCGGCCATAAAGCTGTTCTTGAACACACTAAAAGGACTAAAGGCTAGCACGTGCGTTCTGCGCCTGCATACAATTAAATATCTGTCTATATCAGCAGGTATCAATAACCTTTTTTAGTCATTGAAAAAGGGAAACGGAAAACTGACTGCACAAATCGTAAACAAAGCAGCACTTCCTTATTTTGGATATCAATCACACTGATCATTTTCTTCATTCCACTCAGCTCTTGTTATTATGAAAATATTTGTGCATTTGAACGCTCAGGTAAGACGACAAAATTATAACAGCCTTCTGTCTGTACCGCTCTTTTATTATCAATTCGCTATGATTCTCAAGCACTGACTAGCTAAGCTGAACAGCCAATCAGACTTCTCTCTCTCTCTCTCTCTCTTTCACTGATGCTGATTCAACATGCAGATTCTGTCAAAACATACCTGACAAAAGCCAATGCTTTTGAGGAACACAGCGAAAAAACGAAGACGACTGACGCTCAAAAACGTTTTACCGTTTTCGAATCCATTCAACCGATTTTCTGATATTTAGAAGAATATCAGTAACCAGACAGTTTCTGGTCTCATTGACTTCCATAGTATATATTTTTTTCCTACTATGGAAGTCAATGAGGCCAGAAACGGTCTGGTTACTGACATATCAGTAACCAGAATGGATTCGAAAACGGTAAAACTCAACTGTTTACCTCAGGGGGAGTTGTAAAAATGAGACTATTTCCAAAATTAAAGCTGCAAGCAGCGATGGGCGGGCCCTCGCACCTGTAGCACGTCGGGGTCTGAGGCGGCCGCGTTTCATTTTCTGCAGCTCAGCCAGTGCGGCTGTGCATTTGCCACACTGCTTCGTTAAAGGCCACTTCCTGTTGCCAGCAGGTGGCGCTATGACTGTGGGTGAATGTCGGCATGTAGATTTGATCAGGGCGGGACTCTTGTCAAATGTATTAAATTTCGTGCAGATCTGGGCATTTACAGCCAAGTTACTACAACTTCCTGTTTCATGGCGAATCATTGACGCCACGGACACGCCCATCGACGAAAACCCGCAGATAGCACAACTTTACATCGTCAATGCCTTTAGAAGGTACAGCAGAAATTTGAAGTTGATCCGACTAAATCCCTAGGAGGAGTTCGTTAAAGTACGGAGTGTGTAAATCGTCCCAAATCGGTCGCCGAATTCAAAATGGCGGACTTCCTGTCGAGTTTAGGGTATGGGTTCTTGAGGCTTTTTTGTGCGTCTGGTCATGGTAGATGTACCACAGAAATTTCGTACATGTCGGTCAAACAAGCGGCGGGGGCTGCTTCGTTAAAGGTCACTTCCTGTTGCCAGCAGGTGGCGCTATGACTGTGGGTGAATGTCGGCATGTAGATTTGTTCAGGGCGTGACTCTTGTCAAATGTGTAAAATTTCGTGCAGATCTGGGCATTTACAGCCAAGTTAGTACAACTTCCTGTTTCATGGCGAATCTTCGACGCCACGGACACGCCCATCGACGAAAACGCGCAGATAGCACAACTTTACATCGTCAATGCCTTTAGAAGGCACAGCAGAAATTTTAAGTCGATCCGACTAAATCCCTAGGAGGAGTTCGTTAAAGTACGGAGTCTGTAAATCGTCCAAAAATGGCCGCCAAATTCAAAATGGCGGACCTCCTGTCGAGTTTAGGGTATGGGTTCTTGAGGCTTTTTTGTGCGTCTTGATATGATACACGTCCCCACCAAATTTCGTGCATGTAGGTTGAACGTGGACGAGGGGCTAATTTTTTCCAATTTTCTAGGTGGCGCTAGCGTGCCATTTTGCCCCGCCCATCTGCGAAACCCACAAAATACGAAATTTTTCACCAGTCCTGACATGCGTGCCAAATTTGGTGAGTTTTTGAGCATGTTGCGGTCCCGAAAATGGCACTTACTTTGCAGAAAAAAAAAAAAAAAAATAAAAAAAATAAAAAAAATTAAAGCTGCAAGCAGCGATGGGCGGGCCCTCGCACCTGTAGCGCGTCGGGGTGTGAGGCGGCTGCGTTGCATATTCTGCAGCTCAGCCAGTGCGGCTGTGCATTTGCTACGCTGCTTCGTTAAAGGTCACTTCCTGTTGCCAGCAGGTGGCACTATGACTGTGGGTGAATGTCGGCATGTAGATTTGTTCAACGCGGGACTCTTGTCAAATGTGTTAAATTTCGTGCAGATCTGGGCATTTACAGCCAAGTTACTACAACTTCCTGTTTCATGGCGAATCTTCGACGCCACGGACACGCCCATCGACGAAAACGCACAGATAGCACAACTTTACATCGTCAATGCCTTTAGAAGGCACATCAGAAATGTGATGTCGATCCGACTAAAGCCCTAGGAGGAGTTCGTTAAAGTACGGAGTGAGTAAATCATCCAAAAATGGCGGTAAAATTAGAAATGGCTGACTTCCTGTTGAGTTTAGGGCATCGCTCCAAGAGACTTTTCTGTGCGTCTGGACATGGTAGATGTACCACAGAAATTTCGTACATGTCGGTCAAACATGCGACGGGGGCTGCTTCGTTAAATGTCACTTCTTCTTGCCACTAGGTGGCGCTATGAATATGGGTGAATGTCGGCATGTAGATTTGATCAGGGCGGGACTCTTGTCAAATGTGTAAAATTTCGTGCAGATCTGGGCATTTACAGCCAAGTTACTACAACTTCCTGTTTCATGGCGAATCTTCAACGCCACGGACACGCCCATCGACGAAAACGCGCAGATAGCACAACTTTACATCGTCAATGCCTTTAGAAGGTACAACAGAAATTTGAAGTTGATCCGACTAAATCCCTAGGAGGAGTTCGTTAAAGTACGGAGTGTGTAAATCGTCCCAAATCGGTCGCCGAATTCAAAATGGCGGACTTCCTGTCGAGTTTAGGGTATGGGTTCTTGAGGCTTTTTTGTGCGTCTGGTCATGGTAGATGTACCACAGAAATTTCGTACATGTCGGTCAAACAAGCGGCGGGGGCTGCTTCGTTAAAGGTCACTTCCTGTTGCCAGCAGGTGGCGCTATGACTGTGGGTGAATGTCGGCATGTAGATTTGTTCAGGGCGGGACTCTTGTCAAATGTGTAAAATTTCGTGCAGATCTGGGCATTTACAGCCAAGTTACTACAACTTCCTGTTTCATGGCGAATCTTCGACGCCACGGACACGCCCATCGACGAAAACGCGCAGATAGCACAACTTTACATCGTCAATGCCTTTAGAAGGCACAGCAGAAATTTTAAGTCGATCTGACTAAATCCCTAGGAGGAGTTCGTTAAAGTACGGAGTCTGTAAATCGTCCAAAAATGGCTGCAAAATTCAAAATGGCGGACCTCTTGTCGAGTTTAGGGTATGGGTTCTTGAGGCTTTTTTGTGCGTCTTGACATGATACACGTCCCCACCAAATTTCGTGCATGTAGGTTGAACGTGGACGAGGGGCTAATTTTTTCCAATTTTCTAGGTGGCGCTAGCGTGCCATTTTGCCCCGCCCATCTGCGAAACCCACAAAATACGAAATTTTTCACCAGTCCTGACATGCGTGCCAAATTTGGTGAGTTTTTGAGCATGTTGCGGCCCCGAAAATGGCACTTACTTTGCAGAAAAAAGAAAAAAAAAAATTAAAGCTGCAAGCAGCGATGGGCGGGCCCTCGCACCTGTAGCGCGTCGGGGTGTGAGGCGGCCGCGTCGCATATTTTGCAGCTCAGCCGGTGCGGCTGTAAATTTGCTACGCTGCTTCATTAAAGGTCACTTCCTGTTGCCAGCAGGTGGCGCTATGACTGGGTGAATGTCGGCATGTAGATTTGTTCAGGGCGGGACTCTTGTCAAATGTGTACAATTTGGTGCAGATCTGGGCATTTACAGCCAAGTTACTACAACTTCCTGTTTCATGGCGAATCATCGATGCCACGGACACGCCCATTGAGGAAAACACGCAGATAGCACAACTTTTCATCGTCAATGCCTTTAGAAGGCACAGCAGAAATGTGAAGTCAATCCGACGAAAGCCCTAGGAGGAGTTAGTTAAAGTACGTAATGAGTAAATCATCCAAAAATGGCGGTAAAATTCGAAATGGCCGACTTCCTGTTGAGTTTAGGGCATCGCTCCAAGAGACTTTTCAGTGCGTCTGGACATGGTAGATGTGCCACAGAAATTTCGTACATGTCGGTCAAACATGCGACAGGGGGCTGCTTCGTTAAAGGTCACTTCCTGTTGCCAGCAGGTGGCGCTATTACTGTGGGTGAATGACAGCATGTAGATTTGTTCAGGGCGGGACTCTTGTCAAATGTGTAAAATTTCGTGCAGATCTGGGCATTTACAGCCAAGTTACTACAACTTCCTGTTTCATGGCGAATCATCGACGCCACGGACACGCCCATCGACGAAAACACGCAGATAGCACAACTTTACATCGTCAATGCCTTTAGAAGGTACAGCAGAAATGTGAATTTGATCCGACTAATTCCCTAGGAGGAGTTCGTTAAAGTACGGAGTGTGTAAATCGTCCCAAATCGGTCGCCAAATTCAAAATGGCGGACTTCCTGTCGAGTTTAGGGTATGGGTTCTTGAGGCTTTTTTGTACGTCTGGTCATGCTAGATGTACCACAGAAATTTCGTACATGTCGGTCAAACATATGGCGGGGGCTGCTACGTTAAAGGTCACTTCCTGTTGCCAGCAGGTGGCGCTATGACTTAGGGTGAATGTCGGCATGTAGATTTGTTCAGGGCGTGACTCTTGTCAAATGTGTAAAATTTCGTGCAGGTCTGGGCATTTACAGCCAAGTTATTACAACTTCCTGTTTCATGGCGAATCTTCGACGCCACGGACACGCCCATCGACGAAAACGCGCAGATAGCACAACTTTACATCGTCAATGCCTTTAGAAGGCACAGCAGAAATTTTAAGTCCATCCGACTAAATCCCTAGGAGGAGTTCGTTAAAGTACGGAGTCTGTAAATCGTCCAAAAATGGCCGCCAAATTCAAAATGGCGGACATCCTGTCGAGTTTAGGGTATGGGTTCTTGAGGCTTTTTTGTGCGTCTTGATATGATACACGTCCCCACCAAATTTCGTGCATGTAGGTTGAACGTGGACGAGGGGCTAATTTTTTTCAATTTTCTAGGTGGCGCTATCGTGCCATTTTGCCCCGCCCATCCGCGAAACCCACAAAATACGAAATTTTTCACCAGTCCTGACATGCGCGCCAAATTTGGTGAGTTTTTGAGCATGTTGCGGCCCCGAAAATGGCACTTACTTTGCAGAAAAAATAAAAAAAAAATAAAAAAAATAAAATAAATTAAAGCTGCAAGCAGCGATGGGCGGGCCCTCGCACCTGTAGCACGTCGGGGTGTGAGGCGGCCGCGTTTCATTTTCTGCAGCTCAGCCAGTGCGGCTGTGCATTTGCCACACTGCTTCGTTAAAGGCCACTTCCTGTTGCCAGCAGGTGGCGCTATGACTGTGGGTGAATGTCGGCATGTAGATTTGATCAGGGCGGGACTCTTGTCAAATGTGTTAAATTTCGTGCAGATCTGGGCATTTACAGCCAAGTTACTACAACTTCCTGTTTCATGGCGAATCATCGACGCCACGGACACGCCCATCGACGAAAACGCGCAGATAGCACAACTTTTCATCGTCAATGCCTTTAGAAGGTACAGCAGAAATTTGAAGGCGATCCGACTAAAGCCCTAGGAGGAGTTAGTTAAAGTACGTAATGAGTAAATCATCCAAAAATGGCGGTAAAATTAGAAATGGCTGACTTCCTGTTGAGTTTAGGGCATCGCTCCAAGAGACTTTTCTGTGCGTCTGGACATGGTAGATGTACCACAGAAATTTCGTACATGTCGGTCAAACATGCGACGGGGGCTGCTTCGTTAAATGTCACTTCCTCTTGCCACTAGGTGGCGCTATGAATGTGGGTGAATGTCGCATGTAGATTTGTTCAGGACGGGACTCTTGTCAAATGTGTAAAATTTCGTGTAGATCTGGGCATTTACAGCCAAGTTACTACAACTTCCTGTTTCATGGCGAATCATCGACGCCACGGACACGCCCATCGACGAAAACGCGCAGATAGCACAACTTTACATCGTCAATGCCTTTAGAAGGTACAGCAGAAATTTGAAGTTGATCCGACTAATTCCCTAGGAGGAGTTCGTTAAAGTACGGAGTGTGTAAATCGTCCCAAATCGGTCGCCGAATTCAAAATGGCGGACTTCCTGTCGAGTTTAGGGTATGGGTTCTTGAGGCTTTTTTTGTGCGTCTGGTCATGGTAGATGTACCACAGAAATTTCGTACATGTCGGTCAAACAAGCAGCGGGGGCTGCTTCGTTAAAGGTCACTTCCTGTTGCCAGCAGGTGGCGCTATGACTGTGGGTGAATGTCGGCATGTAGATTTGTTCAGGGCGTGACTCTTGTCAAATGTGTAAAATTTCGTGCAGATCTGGGCATTTACAGCCAAGTTAGTACAACTTCCTGTTTCATGGCGAATCTTCGACGCCACGGACACGCCCATCGACGAAAACGCGCAGATAGCACAACTTTACATCGTCAATGCCTTTAGAAGGCACAGCAGAAATTTTAAGTCGATCCGACTAAATCCCTAGGAGGAGTTCGTTAAAGTACGGAGTCTGTAAATCGTCCAAAAATGGCCGCCAAATTCAAAATGGCGGACCTCCTGTCGAGTTTATGGTATGGGTTCTTGAGGCTTTTTTGTGCGTCTTGATATGATACACGTCCCCAACAAATTTCGTGCATGTAGGTTGAACGTGGACGAGGGCTAATTTTTTCCAATTTTCTAGGTGGCGCTAGCGTGCCATTTTGCCCCGCCCATCTGCGAAACCCACAAAATACGAAATTTTTCACCAGTCCTGACATGCGTGCCAAATTTGGTGAGTTTTTGAGCATGTTGCGGCCCCCGAAAATGGCACTTACTTTGCAGAAAAAAGAAAAAAAAAAAAAAAAAAAAAAATAACCCTAACAGTTTCAATAGGGTCCTCGCACTGTTAGTGCTCGGGCCCTAAAAATAACCCTAACAGTTTCAATAGGGTCCTCGCACTGTTAGTGCTCGGGCCCTAAAAAGTGGAGTATCCCTTTAAAATCGTTTGGAGTGAAATTTGCGAGATTCACAGCAAAGCTGAAGACTTACTGTTGTCTGAATGGGAGACACAAAACAACTGCCCATCAGGTGATGCAGATACATGTAAAATGGATCCTCCGAGACGGGGCAAGAAATCTTTTTTGCCGCTTGCCCCACACTGCCACTGGACAAGCACCGACTCAATGCCTCCACTCAGCAGAATAGTGCCTGTAGAGACAATAACAGTCATGTTTTCTCAGATGGGGACTCTAACACACAGCAGAAGAGGAGAAAAGGTGTGAACCCACCTTCAGGAGTAAAACACAAAGTGTTTACAGCATTGTGATGCCAGTGCAGGGTGGAATACGTGTACTCCTTTTTGTGATTGAAGTTTCTCCTGTGGCAAAACCAAAGCAAGGTAAATCAAACCGATCATGTGACCTGCATATGAACTAAAAACACTGGACGATGAACTCTGGCCTTACCAGAGTCGAATCTTTCCATCTTCATGACCGGTGGCGATGCAGTCGTCCGTAGGGTTACAGGCTATGCATGTGAATGCATTTTTGGCTCCTTTCTTATCTGTGGCTTTTAGATAAAAACTACAAAAGAGGACAAAAATATTGAAACTTTAAAGGAACAGTTCACCCAAAAATTAAAAACTGTCAGTAACACTTTAGTTTAAGGTCCAATTCTCAGTATTAGCATACACATTACTAGAATATTTGCTTTTTATTAGTACTTATAAGAACTGGATGGTGTGACAGCTGATCAAATTGCAAAGTGTGAAAATCAATAATACCTTTTGTGTTCAATTGAAGAAAGTCATTCAGTAAATTACCATTTTCATTTTGAGGAGAACTATTTCTATAAGGCTCATTTCTGTTGTCTCAACTTTGTTGTTTTCACAAAAAAAGTGGTGGTTTTTGAAAAACCAACAGAAAGCCCAAAACACGTGTCATGTGTTCCCTAAGGCCAGTAAATAAGCAGTGCGGTTGGACATGTTCCTACATGTTCTGACCTTAAAAAAGCTATTCAGGATACAGCGGTCATTACCTGTATGTCTTCTGCTTCCTGAAGAAAAAAACATCAAGTTGGAGGTTCTTGGCAAATGCTATGTATTCCCCCTAAAAAACACACAATTTACATAAAACACAATGTTAAAAAAAACGACTGATTCTCTAGAGCTAACTGGAAGGTTGCTGGTCCAATGCCTTGAGCTTGAAAAGAAGTATACCGTTTTTTTCTTGTTTGTACATAACCACAAATAAGGTTGAGAAGTCATGATGTATTATGGCTTTATCAAAACAACTGGTAAAGCTGCAATCGGGTTGAACATGGTATTCGGTCTACAAAAATAACACCAGGATGCGCCACGATAATTAACCCACAGGGGGTTCCTTCCAACCATGTTTACTTTCCACATCAACCCTCTGACACGGGCAATGACTGAGCAGGATATCGATTGATTTATCCATGACAAGCTGAGCAGGTATGACATAATCTTCACCCAGAGCAACCTCCACACAGCCAGACGTGAACTAATGTTTAATATTACAGCATAATAATAAAAAATACAGACATGCAAATTGGATTTCAGCTTGGCTCTGGTATGGAGAGGTTAATACAGCTTTTTGCAATTAGTCTGTACTACTAGTTAAACTGTAGACTTTATTTTTATGGTCTACAGACTTGTAGACATGACTTAAAGATAATTTATGACTGCATCGTCATAGAAATAACTAATATTAGCTGATAGTGAAAACTTTATTGTGCATGCTCATTTCTAAAATTTTACACTTTAGTTTACCTTTTTGCTGCCATCTAACTCTCACTTAAAGAAAAAATTCTGTCAGTAATTACCGGTACTCTCCCTCATGTTGTTCCAACCCCGTAAGACATTCGTTCATTTCCAGTTTCGTTCATTGTGTCAATTACACAAAGGGATAGTTCACTTTTAAAAAAAAATGTTTCATATGTTTTAGCTCAATATTTTATACCTTTACCTCAAGGGCATCCAAGATGTAGTTGTCTTTGTTTCCACAGTATTTTGATATTTTTAAAGGGTTAGTTCACCCAAAAATGAAAATTAAGTCATTAATCTTCGGAACACAAATAAAGATATTTTTGATTGAATCTGAGGGCTGGATCACTTTTCCATAGACAGCCTGAGGGACTGCCTCTTGACGGCCCAGAAAGTCATTAAAATAAAAGGTTTAAATATTCCATGTGCCTACAGTGGCTCAACTATAACTTTATCAAGCGACGAGACTACTTTTTGTGCGAAAAAAAAAACGTAAATAACGACTTTATTCGACTTTCCATTACTTCCTTATGGGCGCATGCGCGAGAACTGAGACGAGACCGTTCTTCTTCGACTACTTTTTGTTACCGGCTGCTCACCGCTTAGGAGTTTTACCGCCCCCTACCGTATAAGATGACGTACTGCTTGTAAACAGAACGTTTTGCGCCTCCGGCTATATCAGTACGTCATCTTATACGGTAGGGGGCGGTAAAACTCCTAAGCGGTGAGCAGCCGGTAACAAAAAGTAGTCGAAGAAGAACGGTCTCGTCTCAGTTCTCGAGCATGCGCCCATAAGGAAGTAATGGAAAGTCGAATAAAGTCGTTATTTACGTTTTTTTTTCGCACAAAAAGTAGTCTCGTCGCTTGATAAAGTTATAGTTGAGCCACTGTAGGCACATGGAATATTTAAACCTTTTCTTTTAATGACTTTCTGGGCCGTCAAGAGCCAGTCCCTCAGGCTGTCTATGGAAAAGTGATCCAGCCCTCAGATTCAATCAAAAATATCTTTATTTGTGTTCCGAAGATGAACGAAGGTCTTACGGGGTTGGTACAGCATGGGGGTGAGTAATTAATGACTTAATTTTCATTTTTGGGTGAACTAACCCTTTAAGTCCAAATTAAACAAGATTTAATGACTCGTAAATGTAAGAACACATTGATGGCCTAAGACACGAAACGAGCGGTTTGTGAGAGAAAACAAACAGTATTTATATCGTTTTTACCTCTTGTAACCACAGTCATGTCCAAGTGATCTGAAGGCACAGGCGCTTCATTCTGCACAAGTGCCGGAAGTGATCTCTTGCGCGGTAGCGAAAAAAAATCAACGTTGTCTGTTGATATATCGAAAACGTCTTCCACTGCGTTTCCTGTATATTTAAATACGTTTAGATCTTCACAGTGAAGGATAACACTTCCGAAATCTGTGTAAACAATGAGTAACGTACACGCGCGAGAAATCACTTTCAGGGCTTTCCGGCGCTTGCGCAGAGAGAAGCGCTTGCGCGGCGCTCGTCCTCAGATCACTTGGACGTGACTGTGATTACAAGAGGTAAAACGATATAAATACTGTTCGATTTCACACCAACCGCTCGTTTCGTGTCTTAGGCCATCAATGTGAACTTACATTTACGAGTCATTAAATCATGTTTCATTTGGAATTCTCTGTGCATGCTCTTTGAGGTGGTGACCATAGACCTCCAGACAAGAACGGTTTGACCTAAAAATATCTAAATTGAAACTACTGTGGAAACAAAGACACCTACATCTTGGATGCCCTTGAGGTAAGCTAAAACATATCAAAAATTAATTTCAAAGTGAACTATCCCTTTAAGTTGAAATAGTTGCCAAGTGCTCCTTTAAGTTTATCAAGCGACGAGAATACTTTTTGTGTGCAAAACCCCCCCCCCCAAAATAATGACTTTTTTCAACTATTCATCTTCTATCATGTGGCCCTCTGAATGAGTTACATATTGTAACAGTGCAGCACTACTGTGTTGTACGTCAGAACGTAGGCTCACTATTGGCCGACACTGGTCATGTGTGTGATGTGTGTGTCACTCAGAGGCCCACAGAAAAGGAAATGAATAGTTGAATAAAGTCGGTATTTTTGGGGTTTTTTAACTATTTTTTTTATCCTTTGTTATTAATCTTAAGAATAACATAGGGTGAGATCTGTTACTGTTTAATGTTCTGTTATGATGGGAATTATATACACAGTGAAGTTTCATCTACACAAAGAATTGGAATTAAGTGTACAGTTTAAATGTATATTAAGAAATCTGCTTTTCATGCGGTCATTGTGTCTTTGTATTAATGCAAGTACAATTGTATTGGTTTGTTTTTCACATTAATAGATTTTAACACCTAGAAAAAGACCTACACGTTAGCAAAGAGTAGCATCAGCTACATGTATGAATCCTAGATTTGTTCAGGATGGCATAATGTTTTTATGGCCTTGTGACGTTTTAACATTCTGTGCCTGAAAGGTCTATCAATGTACAGTAGATATTAACAAAAATGTATCCCCAGCCAAGGACTAATAAGAAGTCAAAACAGAAACTTCAAGAATGTGCTTAAAACAAAAATCCTTTCAAAACATTATTAATCAACAGGCAAATCCTTGAAAAAATAAAAAGGATGCATTAACCACCCAAAAAGAAAGTGACGAGTGAGCTCTTACCCCTCGACCGATTGCCGTGCAGCTGGGGTTAGGGCTGATATGACTGGAAACAGCAGACAGCTCTTTGGCCTCCACCTCCTGATCTGCTGACTTGGGCAGGTGTGTGGAAACCAACTGGAAAGACTCTGGACATGCAGCAGACACACAAAGCTCAGGAAATGCACCTCATTCACCTCATGAAACGATTTGTTAAGGTCCTTCTTTCGAAATCTAAATTGGCTGTCTTAACTTATAAACAGTGCCTCTATTATGCTTATTCAGATATTACCTTTCACGTAGTGTGTAATATTGCTGCTTGTGAATGTAAAAGGTCTGCAAAGTCTCAAAGATCAATGTGCAGATAAATGGTTAATGCCCCCCAAAAGAAAGAGCCCGATTCGGAACCGCCTGAAACGAGTCGTCAGTAATTCCAGGCTTACTTCCTGCTTGAACCTACGTAGATTTTTAACAAATTTGAATAATGCCAGCCTAAGGTCTTTTTTGGCTGCCCGTGAACAATGCCTACCACAACCAAGTCGTGCTTGAGCAGGGCGACGGTAGTTCGGGTTCATCAGCTACTTCTTACAGTTTCATTATTGGACTCAGGCTTGAATTGACATGGTGAAATCACAGCAATCAATTAAATTTGTATCACTGTTTATAAAAGCACTGAGGAAACCTCCAGAATTCAGAGATGGTAACGGCAATTTTTGTTTCCGACACACACTGCAAATGGTAGACCAATCACAACAGACTGGGAGACTTGTAGGAGACCCCGAAAACTAAATTCGTAATATTTAATATTACATAAAAACTGCAAATCAGTCCTCATAGAAACAATGCTGTGTTTACAAAGTCTAAAAAGGACTAAAACAATAAGCTCTTTGAGACCAACTAATATTCAGATTACCTAACATTAATAAAAAAAAATTCTGTTTCGATGAGATTTGTTTGCAATCAATTGAATTCGATTTTTCACATCAGTTTACAATTGTGGCAAACAATTTTACATCTTCCTCATATAAAAAAACGAAGTAAACTGTGGTTGCTGGCTTTACGCATCAGTCTGGTGGTTTCTTAATGTTTAAAGGAGTAGTTCACTTTTGAAAAAACTTTTGCTGATAATTTACTCACCCCCATGTCATCCAAAAGTCCATGTCTTTCTTTCTTCAGTCGAAAAGAAATTAAGGTTTTTGATAAAAACATTCCAGCATTCTTCTTACTTCAATGGGAACCAAACGGTTCAAGGTCCAAAAGACAGTTTCAGTACAAACTACAAACTGTTCAAAGGGCTTTAAACGATTCCAGACGATGAATAAGGGTCTTATCAAGCGAAACGATCACTAGTTTTATAAATAAATAACAAAGTTTAAGATTTATAAGCTCAAACGCTCGCCTTGCTCCGTTCTGCAACGCACTCCTATTCGAACTCGTTCATCAAAATGAACAAATCTTTTTCCGAGTCATTTGGTTCATTCGGCGAAAGAAACGAACGAATTGATTCGGAAAAAGATTTGTTCATTTTGTTGAACGAGTTCGAATAGGAGAGTCACGAACGTGCACTACAGAACAGAGCAAGGCGAGCGTTTGATCTTATAAAACTTAAACTTTGTTATTTTATTTTTTTTAAATGAGCGATCGTTTCGCTTCATAAGACCCTTATTCATCGTCTGGAATCGTTTAAAGCCCTTTGAACAAGTTTGCAGTTTATATTGAAAGTTTCTTTTGGACCTTGAACCGTTTGGTTCCCACTGAAGTCCATTATATGGAGAAAAATCCTGGAACATTTTCATTAAAAACCTTCATTTCTTTTCGACTGAAGAAAGAAAGACATGGACATCTTGGATGACATGGGGGTGAGTAAATTATCAGCAAAAGTTTTTTGAAAAGTGAACAACTCCTTTAAGTGGGCAGGTCTTTGAAAAATTAGGCTGCAGTGTGGAGCAGAATATAATATATGTGGATGGACAGTCAAAACCCTCACTATGCTAAATATCAAGATATTCCGCAATAATTCACAGCGTTAGAAAATGAATCTTTTCCATGCAGTATTGAAGAGATGTAAGAGTGTCCGCTCCTAATCATTGCATCACAAGGATGCGGGCAGCAAACTACATGACTTCATTAGAACTCAACTCGGCAGTGAAATACGACGTACCCTTTTTGTAAACTGTCCCCATGGAAAGATGAAGGAAAATGACTCCCTCATGTTCCTTGGACACGTATAGAGCAAACAACGGGGATCCAATGATAAATGTCTGGGTGAAAAAAAAAAAAAAGAACAACATTTAAGGAATGACAATATTTACTGCAGCAGAAGCCTTGTCGACACAAATCGTACCTTGATGAGGATGCCGTCAATGAAGTCCCATAGTTTAACAGTGCCATCTGCTGAGCAAGAGTAAACCTGCAGCGGAATTAATAAAAAGCATTTTGATGAGAGAATCATCTGTTTATGTAAGGGATAAGTAAGTCAAAATGAACCTATTTCTAAACTCAGGGTAAAGCACACAGACCTGCAGGTGATTGGCAGGATTGAAGGCGATGCCTGTGACTTGGTTGGTGTGGCCCTGCAGACTATGGACCCACTCTTCTGTCCGTGTGCTGTAGACCTTCACTGAATCTCCAGACACGCACAATACAAACCTGCAACCATGACACATTACATTTAAGTGATACACACAATGGCTCTCATTAATGAAACATTCGTAAATATACGAGTAAATATGAGAGTGATTTGCGCGTAAAGAGACCTTCCCGAAAACTCTTCTCCTGATTCACAAATACTTCGTAAACGTCAGATGTGATAGTGAAATGTGTGTGTGTTAATGAATTCCATTTCCAACCAGTCGTAAATGGGATGCGTGTGCACGTTCATTCTCAATTACCATAAATCCCGCCCATTATATCCAACTGACATCTATATAGGCATATAATATAACATGAATGCGAATGAAAAAAAAAAGATTTCTCAGATGCAGAAATTGAAGTTTAATTATCAGAAGTTCATATTTTTTTTTCAAGCGTACATAGTGGCGTATCAGGTCCTAAAAAAAGGAAGCTTGGCAGCATATTACAAATGCAGTTAATGGAGTTTCATCTGTTAATCGAACAGTCCCAGAAGTGAAAAGAGAAAATGGTTCGACATTAAGCTTGACAGCAAAAAACGAATTAGTTCACTTTGGAAAAATCGTATTCAAACTGGAGAAGGACCGCCATCAATCACTAGATCTGCTATTACTGGCTCTCATAATAAAAGTAAAAACGTACAAAATATTTTTTTTCAAAATGCTGTTAAATATGTACCCGATTAAGGTGAATTAAAATGCAGCTTTATTAATGAGCAAAACGTTCGGATGTTAAGCGCACCATTTATGCGTGACTGGGAGCAGGTGTAGATTTCTTGCGTACAAAGTAACATTTGGAAAATACGAACATTTTAATGAATCCAAAAATTGACGCCAGAACCCCTTTACACACGATTTACACAAAAATTTGTTCTGCTCGTGTTTCATGAATGAGACCCAATGCCTTTGCTGTAATACTTCATGCCTGGGGTTTACTTGGAAAAAATTATTCTTGTTCATTGATCTTATTCATATGCACATTGTAATTATCAAACAACACGCACACGATTTATTTGGCTTTCTGTAAAATGGAATTGAATGTTTAATGTAAAATTACTAAAAAGGTTGACTGTGGCTATTTATTTTAATCTCTTGAAAGCCCAAACTTAAGAAAAAAAAGAAAAAAAAAAACGAAATCTACTACACTATAGAAAAATTACATAAGCATTAATGATATTCCTCATTTTCATTTTAACTAGGGGAAATAAAATACGATTAAATCGCATCCAAAATAAAAGTTTGTGTTTACATAATAAATGTGTGTGTACTGTGTATAATTATTTTGCATATATATATAAATACACACACATGCAAGAATATATATTTAAGAAAAAATGTGTTATTTATATATAAAATGTTAATATTTATATATAATATAAAATGACGTAGAAATATACATACAATATATACTGTACATGCACATATTTCTTAAATATATATACATTAATGTGTGTGTATTTATATATAGGCCTACAAAATAGTTATACAGTAACACACACATATTATGTAAACAAACTTTAATTTTGGATGCGATTAATATATATATATATATACACACACACACAGAAAAATACTTCTAAAAATAACTTTAATAGTATCTCAAAGATATGAAACCAAACTAGCAAATGTCAACGATGTCAAATAAACCCTAATTATTTATTTTATTTTGGAAACAGAACGTTGTTGACTTTATAGCATTTCTCACAGAATAGATAAGCATTCTTCTGCATACAAATATAGCCATCTTTAATTTTAGGAAGAATTTTAAAAGTAAGTTAAATAAAAAAAGCAGCACTAACAGACTTGTCATAGCAAACGTCAAGACTAAATTTTTACTGATGTCAATCTGTGATATCTGCAAAGTACTTAAACGTCAGAAGTGAGTGTTGTACACTATTATAGATATTTTTATTAAGAAATAGCATGATGTGTCTATTGAACAGCGTTGAGTAAATATCTGTATACTTGAAAGCAAAAACCAACAACAAATTCAGCAGTTTAAACAATCAGCAATGTTCAAGACATTTTAAATATACAACTGAACCTGCCATTCAGTCAAACAAATGCAGGTCAGAGATTGCCATAATTTTCTAACAGACTGACCACGCATCACTTAGGGACCATTCCCTCCACAACACAGCTCAATGTTTATTAAGACAAGAAATTAGAGGATCTACAGACAGATTCAGGCACAAAAATGTAGCGGATACCTGGAGTCATTTGAGATGATCGGAGGTCTAATGTTAATTTTACTGCCGCCACAGCGAACCACGCGGATATCACTCCTTTCCACCATGTTTTTAGCCTCTCTGAACATCACATGTGGCCGCTGTGTGATTCTTCTTCGTCTGTAGTGAAAAGAAACTAAAAGAGCACAGCGTCATCATGTGGCCGGGGAGCTACTGCGAGAACAAGGATAAGTTATGAAACAGTAGCTATGTAAAACAGGTAAATTTGTTAACTGATAGTTAGGGTTAGCCTTAGAAAATACGGTAAAGCAATCGTATTATTCATTTTAAAAAGAATAGGCCTTCACACAATCTTGACTTTACTAACTCTGTGGTAAAGAAATAAAAAGTACATTTATGAAGAAAATTTATATTTCACATGCCAATACATAAAACATGTGGAAATAAATCATGTTTGTACATACATACAAAATTTAAAATAAAAATAATGAAAAAAGAGCATCATGCAAATCATTATTCTTGCTGACCGAGAGAAATGCGGTCGTTTTGATAGCGTCATAAAATTATTGTTGGCTCTTGTTCAGGTGAATAAATTAAAATGAACTATTTTTTTGAACATTTCGACACAACTTAATTTCGTTGTGTTCAATTCACTTCAATATATTCACAATATATGCTATTTAAAATGTTTACCTGTTTGTGGTTCCCAGCATGCTTTGCAAGGGATTGCAATTGGAAAGTAAATTTAGAGATTATAGGCTATAACTTTATTTTTCAGGAATGGGAAAGACATGTTAGTGTTTAATGTTCAGTTATTGTGAACATTTGTGTTTCTGCAATGTGTTTGAATGTGGTTAGGCTATCTTGTGTTAAAAGAGTGGGTGACCGTATTAGCTCAGACTGATTAAAATGATGAACATGAATATGACTCAACTAAATATGGTTTGTTCCAATGAACTTGTTTCATTCTTATTTTATCGACCAAAACTAATTCTGTGGCAAAAGTTTTCTTAAATGGATTAATTAACTGAAGAAAAAAAATCCCTATATTTTTTTTTTTTTTAGTTCAGGTCCAAAGAGCATCAACCATCTTGAAGGTGTGAGTCAGATAGGGGCAGTCAATATAAAATACCCTACCAACACACTTGCTGTCATACGTATAGGGGAGTTCCCATTTGTGTTTTTTCTGTTACTTTGTTTCCGTGTTCGTGAAGTGCTCAACATTTCCTTGAAGAACCCACCTGTTTACCCGTTCAGTCATGATCACTGGATAAGACAGCTGAAATTCGTGCCCAATAGGACTTAATTTATGAGCGAAAACTGGACCGTACACACATATCCAGACTTCGAACACTTGCATCTTTAGCCGGATAAGGTCAGTAGTCTGTGGGCAAGACTCTTGAGGAACTTCTGGTTAAAGCGTGGCTGCTGCTGGTTACTCTGAAAACATCAAGTTCATTGTGTGAACTTCTCTGAATTGTCTCTCATAAGAGCAACAGGTAATTCTTTTGGACCTTAGTTTGGATTTTAATGCAGATTTGACCAATTAAAGAATTGAAATGTAAATGTATTTACAGGTTTGATTTATGAAATGTGTAATATGTGTGATGTTTATATTTAAGTTATTGCTGAAAGGTAGGAGAGGCTGGGAAATATAGAACATCTTGCAACATCAAGTCTCAAACTTTAGTATACTACATTAAATAGTTTACAAATATGTAACTTATTCCTGAGCCATGCAAATTAGTTGTCAATCAGAACTATGCTGCTGTTACCTATCCCACTACTAAAGTAGTTGTAACAGTATTAGAAACACAGGTTTTGAATCATATCTACATTAATATCAGCATCTGCTTTTATCCAAGGCAACTTCATTTCAAAGTCAGTCCAGTCCTTGGAATCGAACCTTTTGCTTTTGCTAGTACCATTCTCTACATTAAACTTTTAATTTCAAGTAGTAAGTATATAATACATATTTAATTCATTACAGCAATTAAATTGGGAACAAATTTCAAGTATAGTTTTTTAACATGCTGAAACTAATTCAGATTAAGTCAGCTCTGTTATTTAGCATTCATTTGCATGGTCACAAATCAATTTGAGATACCCTGAATCTTACAATCTACTGTCACCTCAAGAGTGTGATGGGAAGATGATGGTCGTTGATGATAGTGGTTTCAACCGCTGTAGCATCCTAATTGGTTATACAGATGATTTTATCTCCCCTATAATCTCCCCTGATTTTCCTTTTTTATTTTTCTTCCCAGCAACACAATGAGTCAATGGAAACAAATCCAGCAACTGGATATTAAGTTCCTCGAACAGGTGGACTTTTTTTATGATGACTTTCCAATGGAGCTGAGGCAGGTGCTAGCCAACTGGATTGAAAGCCAAGATTGGTATGTGGATTTTTGTACATATTGATCAGAATTAGTGTTTTGAATCACATTTTAAATTTCCATTCCAAAGCAATCGTAGAACATTCGCCCTAAAATAATCTGATGCTCATAATACAGATTATATATGTTTGTAGCACAATTCCAGTGCAGAAAGGTATTATGCCTCCTCCTAAAGCATTTTTATCTTCATCGCCACAGGGAAACCGCTTCAAACCATGAATCCATGGCTACTGTACTCTTCAATAACTTCCTCATTCAGCTGGAGAGGCAGTGTTCTCAGGAGCAGAACTTTCTTCACAGGCACAACCTAAAACGAATATTTCATCAGATACAGGTAACAGATGCACACTGCCCTCCTGTTATTTCCACCCATCTGATGCAACCCTGGGCATCATTATTTCCATTAATGAAAGCATTTTTCTCGCCCTTTGAATGATACTGTAGTTGTGTGTATCAAAAGCATAGTGAAGCCTTCTTGCCTATTATTTCTCACCCTCTCTGAGAAGTGAAAGAAAAGGAAAGTACACATTGTACTTGTGAACTGTTGATATGACTTTATTTAGATGCACAAATGGATGCTCATATTTTCTATGTGATCATTTAGCAGGAAATAATCCATATGGCTCAACATTGAGATTTACAGTCATAGTCAACAAGCTAATTATATAACAATAATATAACTCAAGTAAATGTTTATTATAAATTCTAATTTAAGTGCTGTATTCGGTTGCGTCAACGGATGCAACGGTGCACTCAGATGTGGTTTGTGATAACTTTTCATGGACTTCAGTGGAAACAGGCACCTACCTCACATAGAGTTTACCACATTTAGTAAGTAAGCATGTTTAGAACTGCGTAGAAGTCTATACACAATTGCTGACATGTACACTAAAGATATTACTTTGATGTGTTCGCTGTAGTTGCAAAGTCTTGAAAGGAAGTCTAGTAGGAAGACAACAAGAAAACTATAATAAAATCACTGACAAAAGCAAACTTTCAAACTATTTTTAGGCTGCTGAAGACATTTTATTCAATTATGCTGTATTTTCATGAGTGGGTGCTATGGGGATTTCTCAGTAGATAATATCTGAAGAAACTTCCACTGAAGAATGAAAGGTCGGGGGTTTCGCTTTGTTTAAAAAAAATTACATACTGTAGCTGTCTGTAACTGGTTTCGCCACCCCAAAACACAAAATGACAGCACAGTGTGGGTAGACAGCATCTTTTTTCTCTTATTTACAAAGACAGTAATTAGGGAGGCTGCCAAAATGGTTGGGTTTTTTTTTTTTTGGAAAAACCTTTAGAAATATCAACATTGCATGAATGTCTAGACAAAACACCAACAATATGTTTTGTCTAAAAACAGAAAAGTTCAAAAGAACTTGACATGATTCTTATTTCCTGTACCATCTAACAAATGTCACCTAAACCCCTAAATGAATCTGAAACTCTGCGAAGTGTGTATTTCAAAGAAAAAAATTAAATTAAAGTGCACCCTTCTAAAGCCATTTGTGTGATGACCAGACTAAAATTTTATTTACACTAGTAATTTTTCCATATGCTTCCAAATCAAACATGATGAGGCTTTGAGACATTTTGCATCAGGTTCAACATTATGACATTAAACATTGCTTTTGTATCTCATGACTAAATGTCATTGACATCAAATCTGATTAAAAAAAAAAAACACGTTTCTTAATTGGAAACAAAACAGATTTTAGCCATGATTTATTTCATTCACATCAATGGTTATTCATTTTAACTTTCACTTTCCAAGATTACTTAACTCATTGTTATGTCACATTCCTCATGATACATGATTCCTGTAAATTGTCATGAGTGGTGTATGCAGAGGAAGACGAGAAGTCGAATTTCCAAATTCAATAAACTTTACTTACAATGGGCTATATGCACACATAAGTTCCGCATTTGACGCAAGGATGCTCGTCCATTTCCGGTTGTGGAGATTTAAGCGGAGGAAAACCGAGAAAACGGGATTAGTTGACTAGTTGACGTTATATTGTCCTAAAGTGTATTCTCACCGTGTACCGCCTGTGTACACTGCTTCAGTAGGGGCTGGCATTGGTTTGCGGGCTATGTGACGTCAGAACTCGTAACTGGAAGTACATCGATCTAGTACGAGTTCACTGGTGGGAAGTCACGGGTTTGACTGCCGTTCCAGTGCACTTTCACGGGTATAAGGTTGGAAAAACACGAGTTACAGGTTGCCTGGAACGCGGCATGCAACGTGGAGCCGGAAAGCCTACACCGAAGATCCAGCAGGACATGGCGGGGTCGCTGACTCAGGCGACTGAGGTGCAGGCAAGGGGGTAATCCATCGACCGGAAGTTGAAGCCTCGCGGGAGCTGCCATCTTGTAGCAGAACTTCACTTGCGTTAGCATTTTCATTGACTGCCATTCATTTTGGCGTCACTTTGACAGTGAATAACTTTACATCTGAGGCGTTTGAATACCCCATTTGTCCATTATTTATTTCTAAAGAAACACGACAATGTATAAAATGCTCCATTACCTCGTAGCTTATGTTATGGCCCCGTAGAAGCAGTTTTTTGTAAAAGTAGGCTAGCGATTGCATCATAACCAAGCGACTCTCTGTTTCATAGTAGAGAGATTACCGTATGGACAGGAGGAGAAGCTCGCAGGCAATCGGGGAAATGTGGAGGCAAAATGACAAAATAATTAATCAGAATACCTTGCAAAAGTTTCTCCTGCTCCTAGCTCATGGACAGCTCCTACTCACACTCTCCGCCTCTGCGAGTTTCGGAAGGGAATGATTCAGGTTTCTCATGCCACAGCCACTAGAAGACGGACTGGGTTGTTCACATCACATCTACGTCGTCAAGCTCTGTTTGAGTCTGCGTGTCAGGAACGGAAGTGCTAAAAAAAATTGCCAAAAACGGGCTTCAGGCTCTGTGCTGGACGGGACCAGCGGTGAAGGCTCTGTGCTGGACGGGACCAGCGGTGAAGGCTCTGTGCTGGACGGGACCAGCGGTGAAGGCTCTGTGCTGGACGGGACCAGCAGTGAAGTCTCTGTGCTGGACGGGACCAGCTGTGAAGGCTCTGTGCTGGACGGGACCAGCGGTGAAGGCTCTGTGCTGGACTGGACCAGCAGTGAAGGCTCTGTGCTAGACGGGACCAGCGGTGAAGGCTCTGTGCTGGACGGGACCAGCGGTGAAGGCTCTGTGCTGGACGGGACCAGCAGTGAAGGCTCTGTGCTAGACGGGACCAGCGGTGAAGGATCTGTGCTGGACGGGACCAGCGGTGAAGGCTGTGTGCTGGACGGGACCAGCAGTGAAGGCTCTGTGCTGGACGGGACCAGCTGTGAAGGCTCTGTGCTGGACTGGACCAGCAGTGAAGGCTCTGTGCTAGACGGGACCAGCGGTGAAGGCTCTGTGCTGGACGGGACCAGCGGTGAAGGCTCTGTGCTGGACGGGACCAGCGGTGAAGGCTCTGTGCTGGACGGGACCAGCGGTGAAGGCTCTGTGCTGGACGGGACCAGCGGTGAAGGCTCTGTGCTGGACGGGACCAGCAGTGAAGGCTCTGTGCTGGACGGGACCAGCTGTGAAGGCTCTGTGCTGGACTGGACCAGCAGTGAAGGCTCTGTGCTAGACGGGACCAGCGGTGAAGGATCTGTGCTGGACGGGGCCAGCGGTGAAGGCTGTGTGCTGGACGGGACCAGCAGTGAAGGCTCTGTGCTGGACGGGACCAGCTGTGAAGGCTCTGTGCTGGACGGGCCCAGTTGTGAAGGCTCTGTGCTGGACTGATGTGAGGCATGGCTGGAGACAAGGGTAAAATATGAAGATCCTCTAAAGGTGTGGTCTCAGCGGGATGAGAGTGTGCTCCGGATTGGGACACAACACTCTCCAGACACCGGATGACGGTGTCTCTCCAGCCTAGTCCGATGGTGTAAGGGAGGTCGATAGGGTTGGTTAAAGGTGGCTCCGATCCAGAACAAGGTGCACAAACGCTCATCGTCCTGATCGCTGACGACAGCAATGCGGACAAAGCCTGCAACAAAAGAAAAAAACACTTTGGCTCTCCTGAGGTGACACAGATGATGATATTTAACTAAACAAGGTGAGACAACTGAAGACAAACGAGGAGAGGGAAAACTGAACAAGGAAGACATGTGACAGATAACCAAAACAACAGAACAGATGAACATGACTGTGACATAAATGGTATTGAGCTTTTACTGTCAGCCAATTATTTTTAGAATTATTTTACCTTACATTACCCAGTATTATCTTAGGTAAGTACACTGTCAGTACACGCAAGTTCACGTTTCTGTAAAATAAAGTGCAACTTCAAATAATGCTGTAGATCAGGGGTGCCCAACCCTGCTCCTGCCGATCGACTGTCCTGTACAGTTCATCTCCAACCCTAATCAAACACACCTGCCTTTAATTTTCAAGTGATCCTGAAGACCTTAATGGGCTACAGGGGTTGGACAATGAAACTGAAACACCTGGTTTTACAACACAATAATTTGTTAGTATGGTGAGGGCCTCATTTTGCATCCACCAATTCATCTTGGGAATGACAGATAGAAGTCCTTCAAAGTGACCAGAGGGATTATGAGCCGTTCTTCTTCCAGAACAGTGTCAGGTCACTATATGATGCTGGTGGACTCGCTCCTTCAAAACACCTCAATAATATTTAGATCTGGTGACTGTGCATGTTCAATGTCACTTTCATCTTCATCAAACCCTTCTGTCACAAGTCTTGCTTCAGGTGCTCATGATCCTCCAGAAGGGTTTGGTAGTCCTCGGCAGTGTCGTGTCCATCAAATACAATCAGGATTGTCATGATATTGGAGCTCAAACCATCACTGACCCACCCGTGCTTCACTCTGAAGATTGGCCGCCAGGCATATAGATGTGAAACCTCCAACATTGGCCAGTGTTTCAGTTTCATTGTCCAACCCCTGTATATGCACGCATAAGTTCCGCATTTGACCCAAGGATGCTCAACAGTTTCCGGTTGGGGAGATTTAAGCGGAGGAAAACAGAGGAAAACGGGATTATGGCAGAGTCTTCAAAATTTACTGTCCTCCCGTCTTTTAAACGAAACGTTCATACGTTTAGATCTAATTTTATATATAGTTATATTTATTTAATATAATTTTAAAAATAAGCCTAAACACAACGAGGGGTGTCTGTTTTATCTGTTTTTGTGACTAACGTTTCTTTAGTATAATCATGGAGTATAAAATTCAATATAAATTCTCGGTATTGCATTGGACTCTATGATTGGCAGAAGTTATCAAGCATCCGTATGCTTACATGCTTACGTAGGTTCATAGAACAAAAACAAACAATTGCATAATTAGTACAATAATCAAAAGCAAAATTCGCCCTATTTACAACCTTGACACTGTCAAGCAGACTTTTGCGTTTTTACCCTTTACACGGGAACGCGGCGGTGGAGCGTTTTTAAGATTTCCACTCTGGAGGGTGGTTTCACTTTTTTGCGTTTTTAAGCCCCCAAAACGCCGTCGCCGTGTAAACGAAAGGCACATCCGATAAAATATTTTTACGTTTGCACCCGCGAGCGTTCTCGTGTAAACAGGGCCTAATTATACATTTTCAAAGTTGTTTGATTGTTAACCTCTGCATAACAACAATAAACATCAATGGATAGTGATTCCACTCCTTTTTTCCCACTCAGAGTCCCACATTATCCTGCTTTCCTCATTGCAGAAAACATTCCAGCTAATCAGACATCCGCTGTACTATCCTGTTTCACATTAAAATGTATTTTTACCAGTGTACGATGTAGTGTGAATAGAATTCCCTGTCTCACGTCAGTAAACGCTGTTGCATCACTCATTCAGGTTAAATACAAGGCGAACACTATTCAGATGGCTGCCGTCATCTGTAACTGCCTGAGGGAAGAAAGACGCATCTTATCCACAGCTAGCATGCAGGAACAGGTATTGCCAACCTAAACTTTGTATATTCTCTAGGTTAAAATAGTTGAATCCCAAATGTTCCTTGTGGACCTCCCTGTAGATTTTGATCTTCTGTTTTACATGTTTCCATTTCATTAATGGCAGGGACCACTGGAGAAGTCCATGCAAAACTCAGCCGCTCTGGAGAAGCAGAAAGTTCTTGACAACAAAGTGGCAGTGATTAGAAGCAGCGTTCAGGTAATTCACCTTTAGTATTGGTTTAGTATTATCATCACAGACATGGTTTAGGTTTTTGAAAAAGTGCATGCATGACATGTGGAATTATTCAAACATGCTCTATCTATCAGATGCTGGACCAGGCTGTGAAGTATCTTGAAGACATGCAGGATGATTTTGACTTTCGCTACAAAACGCTCCAACTTCGAGGTGAGCCATCGAATGACCATGATAACTTCAGAATACGTACCAAAAATGTCTCCATCCTGCTGTTTTATGATATAACATGAAGCAAAAAATATAATATGAGCATATGAGAGATGGTTTTTGAAATACATCTATGAAATACATCCTCTAAAATTCTGTAGATCCAGTTGAGAGGAACTCTATGGCCATGAAGCAAGAAGTCACCACACTTCAGGAAATACTGAATCGCCTGGATTTCAAAAGAAAGGCAAGTGTTTCTCTAGGCTGTTATTACTCTTTTCTGTGTGTCTCTTCACAACCATTTTCTCTTCTTCTCATATTGCTTATTTATATTGTTTTGTACTTTTCGAACTACCCTGGGAACTTCCTGCCTCAGACGGGTGGTTTTGAGTGTTTCACATGTCTTTGCTCAGGTGTGTGCATTGTTGTTGGCTGGTCATTGTTAAACTTTTTTGCACTTTTTTGTTCCTTTGCAGGAGATTTTGTCAAAGATCGCAGATGTTATAAAGGAAATTGAAGTGTTGATTTCCAGCCAGCTTAACCCTGAACTTAAGGAATGGAAAAGGAGGCAGCAGATCGCCTGCATCGGAGGACCGGTTCTGATAGGACTGGACCAGCTCCAGAACTGGTATAATGCTATATAAATATAGAGAAATAGAATAAAAAGAAATAATATTATATTTCTGTTATGATGTTTAATATAGATTTTTAAAATGTTGTCATACTAAAACGTCTGTCACTATGCTCAATGTAAAGACAAGGAGGAAGTAAAACTGCAAGAGATTTGGAGTTTGAAGGGATGTACACTACCATTCAAAAGTTTGGTGTCTGTTTGATTTTTTTTTTTTGGGGGGGTGGGGGTTAGAAATATATACATGCAGTCGGCAAAGCGTCATAGTTGGGGGGCGTGGTCGGCGTGGGGGAAAGCAGCGCGACCATCCTATGTATTTGAATGACAAAAATGAATATTGCGAGTCATTTATGCCTGCCGACCGGCAACGGTACATTGCAAAATTAACTGTAATAGGTTATGATTGCCCTTATTTAATTAAAAACTGGGTCAATGACCCAACCAAATGGCCGGAGGTGTCGTTTCCAGACTATTGTTATCTGGTTGAACCTTCAGGTAAGACGTCGCGGAAGCTACCGGCAACACAAGCCTATTACTCAATCAACTTGCGTTTAAGTTACTATAAGTCCATAAAACCATGTCACTTACCAATTGTACGTATGCTTCACTCCAAACTATTAATCCTTTTGTAAAACGGTGATCAGTTAGTAGCTACGAAGTTGCAGAGGGACTTTGCTGACAGTTATCCGAATTCTCACAGACTGCAGTCTGATAACCTTCAGCTGATAACGCTAATGTGACTGAGACATCCCTTATGAAAAACAACTAAAGGAATCTTGTAGTATTTTAGGACAAAATATTATACTAACGTTAATCCTATAGGAATACTATAGTATTTTGGGACATAGCCTAGAAGTATATAGGTATAAAGAACATCACAGACGTATTATACACTACTATAGAATACTAATAGCCATAGGATTACTATAGTTCTTTTTCGTAAGTGATGTAACGTCAGACAAATCTGGTCCACTGCCTAATACGAGTTAAACATCTACTACTATATCACACTGGGACCTCTACTCACACAGTAATATTAATTTTGCCATTTTGTCCTCCTATCCGGTTCTGTATGTATGTAAGAAAGGCTGTAGAACTTCAATTTATAATTTGTTAGTTTATTGGTGGTACAGAAAACGACACAGGAACTCTTCGGCATGATTGTCCCATGTATTTCAATGAGCGCCAAGGCAATGTTTTCCCCCACGGGCTAAATTCACATCACGTGACGGGGCGTTCCCGGGGGCGTTCCCAGACCAACCGACTGTATCTGTACTTGTATTAAGCTTTATGCATTACATTGACCAAAAGTGACAGTAAAAATGTTTAGAATGTAATAAAGATTTATATCTTGAAAAAAAATTCATTGTTTACAAAAAATGTCAAGCAGCTGCTGTTTTTAATAATAATATTAAGAAATATTAATTAATCACCAAATCAGCATATTAGAATGATTTCTGAAGGATCATGTGACACTTATGAAATGTATGCTTTGCACCACAGGAATAAATTACTTTTTAAAATGCTTTACATGTAAAACAGTTATTTTAAATTGTAGTAATACTTCATAATATTATACTGTTTTTACTGTATTACCCCTTACAGTCACCGAACTATTTAAACGGTTGTGCACGTCTTTTTATGCGGTTTCTTAGGCTTTCTGAATGCTTGCTAGGCAGTTTCTGGAGTATTGTGGCTGGTTTCTATGGTGTTTTATGGTTGCAAGATTAGTCTTGCTAAACTTTTAATCAAACCTAATGTTTATGTAACATCACTTTTACAGGTTTACCCTGACTGCCCAGAGTCTGTTCCAGATTAAAAGGCAGCTGGACAAACTGGGCGAGCTGATTCTGAAAGTCACTTACGAGAGCGATCCAATTCCTCTCCAGAGACCTCAGATGGAGGAGCAGGTCAAATACCTCATCTACCACCTCATTAAAAGGTACAATTTAGGGAACACATTACATTTATTTACAACTAAGGCACAGCAATTCCCTTTGGGATTATAGTGTCGTAAAAGCATTAAACTCAATGAACGAGAACAATAGAAAGGATGTTGGATGATCAGGTACGGAAGCAAATTGCATTCACATTAGAAAGCAAAATCTACCCTTTTTCTAAATTAACGAGTTACTCCTAATTTTTTAGATAATCAAGTCATTAATTCAGAAAAACCGAGCAAAAACTTTTTTCCATGAAAAATTATCTCGTAATTCTGAGATAATTAAATCATTAATTCAGAAAAACAGAAAAATTATCTCGTAATTCTGAGATAATTAACTCATTAATTCAGAAAAATAGAAAAATTATCTTGTAATTCTGAGATAATTAACTCGTTAATTCAGAAAAACAGAGCAAAAACTTTTTTCCATGAAAAATAATCTCGTAATTCTGAGATAATTAACTCGTTAATTCAGAAAAACAGAAAAATAATCTTGTAATTCTGAGATAATTAACTCGTTAATTCAGAAAAACTGAAAAATGATCTCGTAATTCCGAGATAATTCACTCATTAATTCAGAAAAATAGAAAAATTATCTTGTAATTCTTTAACTCGTTAATTCAGATAATTAACTCGTTAATTCAGAAAAACTGAGCAAAGACTTTTTTCTATGAAAAATTATCTCCTAATTCTAAGATAATTAACTTTTGATTTTGTTTCCTAATGTGAATTCAACACCCTTCCGTGAAAAATAAGTTTTTGCTCTGTTTTTCTGAATTAACCAATTTATTATCTCAGAATTACAAGATCATTTTTCTATTTTTCTGAATTAACGAGTTAATTATCTCAGAATTACGAGATCATTTTTCTGTTTTTCTCAATTAATGAGTTAATTATCTCAGAATTACGAGATAATTTTTCATGGAAAAAAAGTTTTCACTCTGTTTTTTATTAATTAATGAGTTACTCCTAATTTTTAAGATAATCAAGTCATTAATTCAGAAAAACAGAGCAAAAACGTTTTTCCTTGAAAAATTCTTGTAATTCTGAGATAATGAAATAGTTTATTCAGAAAAACAGAGCAAAAACGTATTTTTCATGAAAAGTATCTTGTAATTCTGAGATAATTAACTCGTTAATTCAGAAAAACAGAGCAAAAACTTTTTTCCATGAAAAATTATTTCATTATTCTCAGATAATTATCTCGTTAATTCAGAAAAACAGAGTAGATTTTTTTTTTTGTTCAAGTGAATGTAATACGTTTCCGTAATCAAGAGACCTGGATAATCTTTCGTGGTCATGTTTACAGCTCGTTTGTGGTGGAGAAGCAGCCCTGCATGCCTACACACCCTCAGAAACCTCTAATCATCAAAACACAGGTGCAGTTTACCACCAAGGTCAGGTATGAACCACAGCCTCCTCCAAACTCTTCATGTAAACAAGTCTAATTTCGCAGCGTGTCGGCTGCCTTTAAGTCAAACACAAATATTGCCCATTTAAGTTCACTTTTTTTCTTTTTAGATTGCTGGTTAAGTTGCCTGAGGTGGATTATCAACTCAAAGTCAAGACAACTTTCGATAAGTATGTTTCCTGAATTATGTTTACGTCTTGAAAACCTGGGTCATTAATAGTATGCAATACTTTTTCAGCCCAACTTATTCAAAAGAAATATACTGGTGCTGTAATATTAGGAAATATTTCTGTAAAAGGGTAAAGTCTTGAGTCTTAAAGAAATATAATCTGGTCAAGATCCGACACTTAAACAATATTTATAACTTGTTTACTTACACAATGTCAAGACATTTAACAGGCTGGAACATAACAAGATGGAAATCTAAAGTTAGCCATTGCTCAGTGAGGGATGACATTCAGTTTACATATAGATGTGTGTGTGTGTGTGTGTGTGTTTCTATTTATTTACATTTTTTTTACTTTTATTACTTTTTATTACTTTTATTGACATTATCATACATATTTCTGTTATTTTTATTAGACCGTATGGAATATTTTTGAGTGAAATAAACCATCTAATGTCAGAAAACACCACATAACTCATAAGAATATTAACTATATTGAAGTTTGTGATGTTGTTTTCCTACCACATATGATGTCACTTCCTGGAGAATGATGTCAATGAACATATACACTCACCGGCCACTTTATTAGGTACACCTGTCCAACTGCGCGTTAACACTTAATTTCTAAGCAGCCAATCACATGGCGGCAACTCAGTGCATTTAGGCATGTAGACATGGTCAAGACAATCTCCTGCAGTTCAAACCGAGCATCAGTATGGGGAAGAAAGGTGATTTGAGTGACTTTGAACGTGGCATGATTGTTGGTGCCAGAAGGGCTGGTCTGAGTATTTCAGAAACTGCTAATCTACTGGGATTTTCACGCACAACCATCTCTAGGGTTTACAGAGAATGGTCCGAAAAAGAAAAAACATCCAGTGAGCGGCAGTTCTGTGGGCGGAAATGCCTTGTTGATGCCAGAGGTCAGAGGAGAATGGCCAGACTGGTTCGAGCTGATAGAAGGGCAACAGTGACTCAAATAACCACCCGTTACAACCAAGGTGGGCAAAAGAGCATCTCTGAACGCACAGTACGTCGAACTTTGAGGCAGATGGGCTACAGCAGCAGAAGACCACACCGGGTGCCACTCCTTTCAGCTAAGAACAGGAAACTGAGGCTACAATTTGCACAAGCTCATCGAAATTGGACAATAGAAGATTGGAAAAACGTTGCCTGGTCTGATGAGTCTCGATTTCTGCTGCGACATTCGGATGGTAGGGTCAGAATTTGGCGTCTACAACATGAAAGCATGGATCCATCCTGCCTTGTATCAACGGTTCAGGCTGCTGGTGGTGGTGTCATGGTGTGGGGAATATTTTCTTGGCACTCTTTGGGCCCCTTGGTACCAATTGAGCATCGTTGCAACGCCACAGCCTACCTGAGTATTGTTGCTGACCATGTCCATCCCTTTATGACCACAATGTACCCAACTTCTGATGGCTACTTTCAGCAGGATAATGTGCCATGTCATAAAGCTGGAATCATCTCAGACTGGTTTCTTGAACATGACAATGAGTTCGCTGTACTCAAATGGCCTCCACAGTCACCAGATCTCAATCCAATAGAGCATGTTTGGGATGTGGTGGAACGGGAGATTCGCATCATGGATGTGCAGCCGACAAATCTGCGGCAACTGTGTGATGCCATCATGTCAATATGGACCAAACTCCCTAAAGAATGCTTCCAGCACCTTGTTGAATCTATGCCACGAAGAATTGAGGCAGTTCTGAAGGCAAAAGGGGGTCCAACCCGTTACTAGCATGGGGTACCTAATAAAGTGGCCGGTGAGTGTATATATATATATATTTATACCATGGTCTGGGTGAATACTCGATTCTGATTGGCTGCAGGGTGTCCGTTAAAAAGTGATAGAGGACACCTAGTAAAGTAGTTCTGGTGAAACTGCCTGTTTACCATTCGAAATGAATAAATAAATGCGCTGCCTACAACGGCTGTGAGTAACCATAGCAACAGGCAGTCACATGCTCTATCATCTAACGTTAGATATTATAGCCTAATACAACAATGAGCGACTTCGTGCTATTTCTTTTAACATTTATGGAGAATATGGCAACTTTGACGACTGGTATGCTGCTGAAGAAAGAAAAAATGTAAATAAAACGGAGAAAATTACACCGCTGCTGCTCTGCTCCATTGAACTCTATTGGTAACGACGTAACTTGCGACCATAGTTGGATAACGATGCTTTCGGGAAACGCACCCCTGAATGAGACCCTGCGGGAGTTTTACGCAGCTGTCCAGACAACCAAGGCAGGAGAAGGCTGAACGTTACAGCGTTTCAAGCCTAAGGAGCCTGAGGCAAATGACGCTCTCTTTGATCTGATTAATTTATTGCCCTCTATAACGTTAAGCGCAAATCGCTGGAGATCAGAGGCAGAGCTAATTGTTTTTTTATTGTTGTTTGATTAATTGTTTTATGTGTAATAAAAAAAAAAACTATTCCTACCTTTGTGTTTCATGAAAAAAAAAATGCATTTGTGAACCTGAAGGGATACGAGCTAAGCGGACTATAGGCTAAATATCTCCGGTTGCTAAATAAACAGTCAGGCAAGGCAAGTTATTATTTGTAAAAACTAGATTTAGCCTAATTAAAATATAAACTAATGTTTTAAAAATGTTTTATTTGGCAAGTGACCATGGTATAAGCGGGTTAATGCCCTCCGAGGTGTCCATTGTCAGGTTTTAATGGACTTCGGCGGAGGCAACCGTCCTCCGCTGCGCGTCGGCCGGTTTACGCCTCGCCGTCGTCCATTAAAACCTGACAATGGACACCTCGTCGGGCATTAACCCTTACATATATATCACTTAATTAGCCTCAACATAGATTCATTAACAACTTAGACAAAACGCAAAACTATATATAATCTATTAAAAACTTATGTAGCAATATTCAATATTTCCCTAGACAAAATGCTTTGTTTACTTTATTTTGATTATTTTAAAACACAACTGTTTATTAGACCAATTGGTGAAATTATTGAAAATAATTTCCTTAAAATAATTCTAATCCCTAATATGAATTCCATCTTTAAAATTGTGAAATACATATTACGACACACAGTATATGATTGGGACATGAAAAAGTACTGCACACTAGGAATAACCCACATATTCCAATGGCTATAATCATTAATCATCAATAGCATAACCTATACTCTTTCTTACATTTACACTCAAGTCATTGTGTGTATGTGTGTATGACAGGTGTTTTTAGCCCAACGTGACTATGTTTTTCTACTCTTTTCTGTTTGTGTCTGCAGAGACCTTCCACCAGGCAAAGTGTGAGTGCACTCAACCTCAAAGTGAAGAGGCAACTTCCTGTTGTTTATTTAGGCCGAATCTCAATATGAGTTTTTCAGCTATGTGTGGGGGGAGGGAGACAGCAATGCTTTACAAGCTAAATAGTGGGTTATTGTAATTATCAGTACAGGGGAAATTGTGACTAAACAGAAAATATCATAATTAACATTACTGATATTTCCTGATATAGGAACAGACAGTTCTTCATCCTCACCAACAACACCAAAGTGATGGATGTTGAGGAGTCGACCAGCTGCCTTTCTGTAGAGTTCAGGCATCTGGTACTTCACTCTGAATTCTTGCACATATTTGAAGAACAATACGGTTTATTATGAGACTTTCTATCAACTGATTAACGAGTCATAATTTACTCACCCTCATGTTGTTCCAAACCCATATGATGATGTTGTTTTCCATGACACATAAAAGGAAAAATTTTGAAGCTTTTATTCCATACAAGGACAGTTTATAGTGACCATGGCTCCAAAATAACTCACATAAATGGCATTCATTTTTTCTTTTTCTTTCTATGATGAGCTTGAAATTGTGTTTCGCTATAAACTATTGCCCAAAGGAACTGTGTGAAAATGAACATGAGAGTAAGTAAAGAAAATGTATTTTTAATTCATTTGGTGAGAGATATTTCATGATGTGTTTGTGTTCTGCAGCAGCTGAAAGAGAGAAAGTGTCCTACCGGAGGAAAAGGAAATGAGGTAATAAAGAGCGCACTATTTCTATTCTAAAACAGTTTGGCTGCTGCCTTTATAGGTGTAAATCTCTTACAGTGGCCCATCTTAGAAGTCCTACGCGATGTCTTATGTCTTGTTATTAATGAGATATTATTTTTGTCATGTTGTTAGTCGATGTGGAATGCATCATCTTGCTAAGTGCCAACAGAGGGCATCCTCACACTGTATGCTTGATCTTGGCAATGAAGTGTAACGATACTGTGTTTTTATCACAGGGTCCCCTGTCAGTTACAGAGGAGTTACACTCACTCAACTTTGAGGCCATGCTGATGTTACAGGGCCTGGATATTGATCTCGAGGTGTGCTTTAGTTTGTGTGTGTGCATATATATATATATATACTGTATATATACACACACATACAGTACATATAATGTGTGTGTATATATATATATATATATATATATATAATGATATAATGATTATGGGAATGATTATATATATGTATATTAATATTAATATATATATATATATATATATATATATATATATATATATATGTATGTATATTAATTCATGCCTTAGAAATATTTGTCTAATTTGGGTTTGGTAAGAGTTTTTTTTATATTTCTGCTCACCAAGGCTGCATTTATTTGGTCAAAAATACATTTAAAGTCTAGAACAAAATTGCATTTCCAGTCTTAAATGTCACATGATCCCTCAAAAAATATGTTTATTTAAACTTATACATTTTATTAAGGATTCTTTGATGAATAGAAAGTTTAAAAGGACATTTGAAACAGAACTCTTTTACCACTATAGCCATACTTAGATATTTTTTCATTAAAGTCAAGACAGTTTTAATGGTAAATTGTATTACAGGAAAATATGTATGACTAGTTGTATTTAAAGTTTCATTGAAAATTAGGACTCATATTTTTGTCTGTAATGTTTTATTTCTATAGATTCACAAATTACATGTTTTATAAATTACAGCTGTAATCATTTGCATGGGAAATTAGTCTGCTAATACAATGCTTTTATGGTCTTGTATGTTATTAACCATGATACCGCTTACTTGGTTTATATTTTCTCCTGTGCAGACTTGCTCCCTGCCACTGGTGGTCATCTCCAATGTCAGTCAGCTTCCAGGGGGCTGGGCCTCCGTCATGTGGTACAACCTGCTAACGGACGACCCTAAGGTGGGCTTCTCAAAGATCTGATGCAAATGCAAATTAATGGATGTCTAGACATATAGTATCTTGTCTATAGCTTTCAGCACTTGGTAGAAACATGGTTACGGTCATGTGGTCTAGTATTATATAATATGACTAAGAGAACTAGAGATCATAGTTTTTATTAGTGACCAGACTTGACTTCTAGTACTATTTGAACGTGTTTAGAACCTCGGGTTCTTCGGGAACCCTTTGCGGGCGAGTTGGAGCCAACTCTCCGAGGTGCTCAGTTGGCAGTTCTCCAGTTTTGCAGGACGAGGACTCAACAAGGAGCAGCTTAACATGCTGGGAGATAAACTTCTGGGTATGTTTTTATAAACATGTTGGATTATTATTATATTAGTAATAGTGCGTGCCATTTTCAGCTGCTTTACACTGTGTGTTTCGTTTTTCCTCATGCATTTTTTTCCCCCTTGAGTTTTATTGTGAACTTATTTTTGCCTCCGTCTAAACAGTGTTTTGTAATTGTTTCTGAAGGTCAACACGCTTCTTTTAATGACTGCCAGGTTTCTTGGTCCAAATTCTGGAAGGTAATATTGAATAAAGATTATATTCTCTTGTTATGTTCAAATTGTACTTGAGCATTATGAAAACCACAACGATGTAAATCCAATGTTTTGTTTTTTTATGTTGCTCTCAGGAAAACATCCCTGGAAAATCATTTAGTTTTTGGCTGTGGCTAGACTCTATCCTGGACCTTATTAAGAAACATTTACTTCCTGTTTGGATTGATGGGTCAGTGGCCTAAACTTATGACATTCAGATGAATGATAAATAAAACACATAATAAACGCATATTAACTCTGTTGTACAAATAACCATGCGATACATGAATACAACTATTTGGTAAACAATTTTAAATTAGATTGAACTGTTTTAACCAAATATATTAATCAGTATATTTATAAATGAGAATTTTGATTTATCTGCCAAGCTGGATTCATTTGTTGCTCTTTGCAAAAGCTGTTTCTACTTCTCAATGGATTTTCTGCTGTTTTTGGTTGTCAGTTATATAATGGGATTTGTGAGTAAAGAGATGGAACGTGCCTTATTGAAGGAGAAGAAGCCAGGGACATTCCTGCTACGCTTTAGCGAAAGTCACCTTGGAGGAATCACCTTCACCTGGGTTGAGCAGGATGAAAATGGTTTGTTTTTCTGCTATATATTATGTTTGAATAACCATATTCACAGGTAGGAGACATGGGGCTTTATCTTGCACCCAGCGCAAATGACTTTGTACACTGACGCATGTATTATTCCTATTTTGCACCCGCAAAGCGGACTTTTCCCTCCACAGACGCACGTCAGTAAACTAGGGAATGAACTTGCGCTCCCTGGGCAGGTTTTCCATTTTTTTTCCCCTTTTTTTCCATTTTGTAGAAAACAGTTGCGCCACTGACCAGAAAAAAACTAGTCTAAAGTCAGTGGCGTGTTGCGCGTACATTCAGATGCTATTTTAAATAAGCGCACATGCTTGGCCAAAATACAGAGTGTGAACAACGCGCATACACTGTAGATGATTCTCTCATCTACACGGATGAATTTTACTTTTTGCAAATGATACATTATTATAAGGAAAAATATTTAAACACTAGGGAAATAGGCAGAAAGCCTACACATTTACCCAAATTATGATATGCATATTTAACCAAAGCTAATTTGGGTAGGTTTGTCCCATCCCCAATGTCACTTCTCTTTCTTTTACGGCCCTGAGGAGAATATCGATCTCCTCGGCTGTGAACCGATTGTGAAGCGCGTCTAGTAAATGCGCCGTTATAATAGTATTGCGCCATGGAACAAGCGCACCTTGTTCATCATGCTCTTAAAGGGAATGTGATATGACACTCTTATCCACAAGTTTCCGAGGGGCGCTCCTGTAAAAAATAAAGTGGGTGAAACTTCCGGTGACGCGGCGGAAGTAGCATTCCAATGGTATTTTGTGTGTTAGTTAGCGAAGAGGCTAGCTGTTTTTCGGAGAATTATTTTACTATTTAAAGACGCAAATCTTTATGAGAGATGTCGTTACGGAGCTCAGGGACAACATGTGCTGCTCGCGGTTGTATGTATAACCGGACTAAACTAATTTAGTGGCTTAAACGGGATTGTTTTGAACATAAGCTGAAAACGAAATTAGAGTGATTCTGCCAGAGCCCGTCTCTGATCCTGCCAACGACTGTAGTTTCCATCACCTCCCAAAAGACGACGAATCTTCCTGTGTACATTTGTTTAAAATCTTAATATTCTATGAACTCTATCAGCATGTGTTTGGCTGTTCTCTACTGATGTTACACCTAAACTCAGGATCAAAGCCTGTGTTGACAGAATACCAAATGTGCCAGTTAATGTATTCAAGTAGCACATTCATTTATAATTTTGAATAAACTCCAAAGCACAATGACTAAGTGTGTATTTTTTATTTTAATTGTTTGTCAGCTCACACAACTGTCTGTCACCATGCCTTGATGAGTTTTGATTATTAATAATGTTATTATAATACTCCCAATCAACTACTGCGGAGGGTAAAGGTACTGTTATTTCACCCTTTTTCATTTCGTTGAGGTTGAGGTCCCACATCGTTAGCTAGTTTGGATCGCTATAACTTGAATGACTGTCAACTGTTGAATGAACGAGTGTCAAGCATGTCAAATCGCGCTTTGTTTACGTCCAACCGGAAGTCGCGCCCACTTTTGACGCAAGGCCTCATGGGGCGTAGGAAACTTGTGGATTGGTTTGTTTCCTGTTACGCCCAAACCACTCCTATGAATAGAGAGCCTAAGTCCCTCCCCTTCCGGTCGACAACCATGGGACCTTATTTCAGAAAAATATTGTATGGTAGTCAATGGCGAGAAACAACAAATATTTTGATCTCGTTTGAATTGTGCCCTGAATTACACATATGATATTTGTCAATTTAAAAGATAAATTTTAAAGTAAAGAAAGTCGCAGTTTGACGTAAAACCGTTGAGGTATAAGACTGTGAAAATACAAAGACTACAAACCCCAAAGGCGCACATTTTCTCTCAATGAATGAAGCTAACTATACTAAGGCCAATGTCTGTCATTGTTTCCATAGTCTTACATTATAATCGTAACGTTACGCCGTCATGCCTGAATGTTTTGTACCAGACTGCACACACACAAGCAGCGGATCTCGCTCGTTGTTTCGCTTCCCGGGAGATGGAGTTCATAGAGCGATTTTCACATAAAACTAAATGTTACTCTTCTGTTTTATCACAAACTGTGACGTTTTTGACTCTCAGAATTATCTTTTAAATTGACAAACATCATATGTGTAATTGAGGGCACAGTTCAGACGGAATAAAAAGATAAATTGTCTCTCGCCATTGACTACCACACATATTTTTTCCGAAATAAGGTCCCATGAGCCGAAAGCGGATGGGCGGGACTTAGGCTCTCTATAATGAAGCTATGTCAGACCAGCCCCTTTTAAACTTGCGTCGGGCGCAAGAGTTATTTATCCCACCGGTAAAATACCAACAGCGCCCAAGACCCGCCACAAAGTTACTGATACTTGCGTTTCAGATCGTTAAAATAGGGCCCATTCTGTCACAGGTGTCCAGTTGATAGTAACACAAAACAAGTTCCACGCAGTGAACAGTTAAAATGTTCTGTTTGCAAGCCCACACAGTTCAGGAACTCGTGCCAAGTTAAGCATTTACTGTAATATCCTCACTTGGATTCGCTGAGGGAAATTCCAGCTTTGGAGTTGTTCCAAAATTTCAAAGATGCCTTTTATCTTTAATGCCTTTAATTGTGGAATGTTTTCTTAAGCACATGTTTTCTGCCCACAGGAGACCCAAAGTTCATCTCTGTAGAGCCGTACACTAAAAACCGTCTCAACGCCTTGCCCATCGCTGATATAATACGGGACTATAAGGTCATTGCAGATGGTGTTGTCCCAGAGAATCCTCTGAAGTTCCTTTACCCCGACATCCCGAAGGACGAGGCTTTTGGAAAACATTACAATAGCCAGCAAAACAAAGGTTAGATGTCTGTAAACTTTATCTGGTTGATTATATTTTACTGTGTTCCATATTTTGTGCATCACCATATTTTCTCCATCACAAAATATTAAAACATTCTGTACTGTTGTGACACGCCTAAGAAATGGCAGGAAGGAACAGGAAATTTCTTTATCTTCTGTAAGGGTGGTTTGCCTACAGAGCTTCAGGCTGCCGGATGACAGAATGACTAAAAAAACATTATCAGATGGTAGAAAACTGTACATTTCTTGTCTATTACTCACTGCTACTTATACCAGTGATGGAAATAAGCACAGTTATAATAGCAAAATGTGTGGGAGAGCGTTTCTATAGGGTGACGATATTGTTCTGCAATAGGTAGCACTTTAAAGTCAATACCAAATCAAAATGAGTTTGCTCATAATTTGTGGTTGACAATATCTGGTTATGGTTACACTTAAAATAGTTACAAAATAGATCCATGAGATGATAAAAACTTACCCAGCTTATAATGCAGAATGTTACCTGAGAGATAGAAAGTGTAGAGTGAAAGAGGCAAAAGAGTGCCCCAAGAAAGGGACCCAGAGGAAAAGATGAGACAGAGCAACAGTTACAATCTTTTTTTTATCTCTTCCTTGACCATGTGACTGAAACCCAAATGTGAGACATTTAAACTGACCAATCAGATAATTACAACTTCCCCCATACTAAAGGTGTGACGATTCGTAGACCCCAGAAATGCACACATGAGCACCTCGAGCACCTCTGCCTTTAGGAATGCCAAATGGCCCTTGTCTTAAGAGACAAGGTTGATACAGTAAAGCAAATGTCTTTGTTTATTTTCAAAATATATTTGATTATTTGCAATTCTACACTTCATTTTTACACTATTTTTGACTATTTACCATGATTAACTCATCAGCTCTGTTCCCAAACTTTTTAAATGATCAACCTTTTTCTTTATTTTATGGGTGATATAAAAAAAAATGTTAGCTTGTTAAGTGACCGCATAATTTGGTCTACGTTGTCCATTGGAGTGTTTCATTATATTTATGTTCAATACACTTTTTTTTCTATTGAATGTTTACTTTATGTGTTCTGTTTGAAAATTATAAAGTCACACAAATCAAAGTTTTTAATCAAACATTCATTATTATCGCTTTTCACTGACCATTTGTTTCTTGACCTATTGTTTTAAAGGGATCATGAACTGGCTTTTTAAATTTTATTATATTGTTGTCTGAGGTCAACCTATGACTTTCGCTTGGTTTTTACTTTAAAAACCATCTAAATCAATAAGTAATAGGCTATTTTCTTCCTTAGTTTTGAGCCTAGCTCAAAATAGCTCGGTTTTTATGGGCGTCTCGCATTGAAGACTTGGAAGTAAACGCCCACTGCTGTGAGTGGATGACAGTTTTGTATATTATAATGAGTTTCACTCGTCAGTGCATATTTATTTCTCGGTAGCTCGATCCAGTTTGTCATCACGAGGTAGGGATCTATGTTATTTAGCTATGCGTGCGATGCGCGAATCGGTGGGCGGGGCTAAACGGCCGTGTTGAAGTAGGCGTTGTCATCTACTGCGGGGGTGGTGTTTTATCCTCTTTGACGTCATAGTTCCCCACTTTGAAAAACGAGTCGTTTGCTGAGGCCGGTGTCAATAAAAGCTGTTATTGGACTAACGAGGACGTTTTCAGTTCTGAAACTTACAGGATATTCTTATAATATGATGACCTCTTAGATGTCAAAAGCTCAAGGAAAATTTGATTTCTCAGTTCATCACCCCTTTAATTGTGGAAAGTGCAGAGTTGTGTAAAGATTAGAAATAGCATATGCTATCTCGAGTCAGGGATGGCCACTTTCTTCATCCCTATTCACTATTTTTATTGAACCCTTAGAAGCAGCTATCCGCCATAACCCAGCAATCAAAGGTATTGAAACACCAAACAAACACATAAAATCTCACTTTATGCAGATGATATTTGACTATTTATACAAGAACCTCTATCATCTACTCCAGAAATAATTAAAACAATCCAGTCCTTCTCAAACATATCAGATAAACTGGACCAAATCTTCCATCCTCCCTTTACATAAAACCAAATGGCATGTGGCACCCCACCAATCACCTATACCTATATGTCATGATCACATCACTTGCTTAGGCATTAAGATCTCCTCCAGACTGTCAGAGTTGGTAACACTCACCTTCGCACCACTGCTAAAAAAATTAAGACGATTTGCTTTGATGGCTCAACCTTCCAATATCCATAATTGGCTGGATAGCAGTAATAAAAATGACGACTTTACCTAAAATTAATTATCTATTCTCAATGATTCCACCCCAACCCACACTCACCTGTTTAAATCACTAGACTCCATTATCACTCACGTATACTGGAAAACGCCAAGGATAAAACTCACTGCACTTCAAAAAAACAAGGTTCAAGAAGGTTTAGAAGCACCAAATTTTCAATATTACTCAATGGCTAACCAACTGCAATATCGGATTGGGTGGTTTGGATCCATTTGTATATGTATTGCAGCAATACATATACAAATGGATCCACCCCAACCAATCCGATATTATGGCTAGATATAGAACAATCACTATGTAAAGAATTAAATATAGCTGACATACCATTCCTCACCAAATCAATCAAACAACACACATGTTTTAATGCAGTAACCACTCTGAGAGCCTGGTGGAAATTTCACCAAATCATATTAGCTCCATCTAACCTCACCCCACTGTGCAACACCTCTGACTTCATAAACAATAAAAAACACCGAATTTTCACACTTGGGCTGAATGGGGTGTCACTCAAATTTAACCATATTTTCAAATCTAACACATTAACAACATTTTCGCAATTGGTCCATGAGTATGACATTGGGAGCAATGAATTTTTAAAATAACTCAAATAACTTCTGTTCTGGCAAAAATAAACATTTAGAACTCCCACCGGCAATATCAGATTTGGTTAACAAGAAACGTCTCTCTAAAATATACAAAATAATTTCAAATCAACTTCTGACCATATACTTACCAACAATAAAATGGGAAAACGAGCTCCTGATGCCAACTTCTGGACCCAAATCTGTAAAAACATCTATCTCAGGTCCAAAAATGCTAATCTTCAATAAATACAATTCAAAATACTTCACAGAACACATTACACGGGCAATAGATTAGCTAAAAGGGGTCTCAAATCAGAAGTTTGCACACATTATATCCTCATGAACTGGAAAACTCGTAACAACAAACACATTAACCATTGGGAATATCTTATTACAGACGTCTTTACAATGGAACACACATCTCCCCCTTATAATTACGCATCTGAAACTGACCTCTGTCATCCAACACTTTCTGACCTCTTACAGCTATCAATCCGTTCTCTCCTCTCAACTCCGACTACTCCCAACTTTTTAATCAATCTATGGATTTCACTGCATTTTTGTTGTTTGTCATCATTGTCATTATTATCATTACTGTTACTGTCATGATTTACTAGTTTTATTTTAATTTTTGTTTTAAGTGCTGCTGTTATTGTCATTGCTTTCATCATTGCTACCACCATTGCCATCATTATTATTATTATTATTATTAGTGCTGTTTTGGAATTACTAACCTGGTGTTTATTGTGTTCACATGTTTTTAATGCACCACAACACAGAATAGAAAAAAAAGATGCGTGTGTGTGTGTGTGCGTGTGTGTGTGTGTGTATATATATATATATATATATATATATATATATATCTGTCCCAAGTTGAGACACTCTCACACTGTACTCCTTTTAATGCACCTTTGACACTACATAACATAAAAAAATACAAATTGGAGAAAATAGGAACTGAAGAGATATGGGGGGATGGTTATCTTATATTATGTGATGATGGTATCTTTTATTTTTGGAGAGTGCTGACAATGGTAATTGTTACATAGCAGGAAAGATGGAAATAAGAATACAAATAAAAATTAACTTATACAATGTTGGCAGTATGATGGTAGTGAGAAGTGGTGGTGGTGATGGTAATGATGATGGTAATAAATAATAAATGGTTACTTTCCTGATGCACACAGACACACATACACACACACACCCACACACACCTATACATTTACACACATTTATTTCACTTCTGGAATTATGGAATTACTGGATTGTTCATTACTGCATTATTTTGGTCTGCATGTCTGTCTGTTAAATAAAATAAAAAGAAAAAAGAAATAGCATATGCTAAAATGCTGTTTTTTTGTTGTTTTTTTTCCTTTTACAGTTTGTCCTTACATTCAGACACAGTTAGTTCCAATTTCCCGTCGGAAGTGAGTACCTTAATTTCTTTCAGATGAATATTTAACTTTATAAATTGTTGTCTTTAAATGTTGCATGATTGAATGATGAACTGATCATTTCAAAAAATCAAAAATTGATTTTCTTTTACTTTCTTTGATTTCCTCATTCCTCAGTGGTCCAGTCCAACATGCATGTTCCTCTCCTGAACCTCCAATGTCTCCTGGAATGTTTGAAATTATCACCCAGCACCTCAGTCCCTTTGAGTTTGAAAGCGCTGTAAATATCTTTTACATATTTATTTATATATAATTTTAGTGCTGTCAACTGATTTAAAAAACTGCTAACTTTCTGTAATTAATCATGATTGTTTGCACCTAACACTTCGCTAAGCCACGCCCAAAAACCGCCACTGGCCAATCGGGTCTTAGCAACCATAACTATGCGCGGGAGGTCCGGCAAGCTTTCGAACGAGGGAAATATGCTGAAGCATTGTGTGTATGGATTGTGCAAATCTGATACCGGTATCACCGGTATACCGGTATATAGAGGAATTGTTTTCCGTAAAAAGCTAAAAGCCGAGGGGAGAAATGATGGGCGTGATCAAGAAGTGTGGGAGACCCATTCACAACTACCGTTAAATGTCGACATGGTTAAAGGATTAGTTCACTTTTGAAAAAACTTTTGCTGATAATTTACTCACCCCCATGTCATCCAAGATGTCCATGTCTTTCTTTCCTCAGTCGAAAAGAAATTAAGGTTTTTGATGAAAACATTCCAGGATTTTTCTCCTTATAATGGACTTCCATGGGAACCAGGTCCAACCGAGGTCCAAACGACAGTTAATAACAGTTTCAGATGCAGCTTCAAATGTCTTTAAACGACACCAGACGATGAATAAGGGACTTATCATGCGAAACGATCGGTTATTTCAAAACTTATTCTAAAAATGTAACTTTTCTAAGGACAAATGCTAGCCTTGCTCTATTCTGTGAGGCGCGTTTGTAACGTCACGTAATACGTAATTACATTCAAAAGGTCACGGGCGACGTAGCCGGAAGTACATTTTGGAGGATATTTAGTAAAATGCAATAAAAGTCACAATCTGTGATTTGTTCATTTGTTAACCTTTTTTAACTGACAAAAGTACAAAGAACAGTGTTCCAGTGTTTTCACTGACCAACATACTTGTATTTTGTAAATGTAAACATATTATGATATTGATGGCTGCGTCACACTACTAAAAAGTTGGGACATAGGCAAAATAAAAGTGAAAAGATTAAAAATGTTCGATTAGCCAACTCTTTTGGAACAGTCCACAATGAGTTGGTGAATTGGTAACAGGTGATGGGATCATGTTTGGGTGAAAAAGGAGCTTCTCAGTCTTTTTCACTTAACACACTCTGACGCTGCATTTAGAAATGTCACTTGAATCTCTGTTACACAAAGAGAAAGCTATACATCAGTTCCATGCGGAGATGCCGGCGAGTTCTCTGGGCCTGAGCTCATCTGAGATTGTCTAAAACACCATGGACATGTGCTGTGGTCAGATGAGTCCATGTTTAAGCTTGTTTTGGGGAAAAACAGACATTGAGTTGTCAGTCCCAAAGACGACAGGGACCATCCAGACTTTCATCAGCGACAAGTGCAAAAGCAAACATCTATTATGGTATGGAGGTGCATCAGTGCAAACAGCATGGGTGACTTGCATTTGTGTGAAGGTACCACTGACATGGAGGTGTATATTTGCATCAAGATGACATCTTTCCTGGGAAGCAAAACGATGCCAGGCCTCATTCTGCATATTCTGTAGAGTGGATGTGCCTGCAGTCCAGATCTGTCTCTTATTGGAAGTGTAAGAACCATCATGAAAAGGAGAATCAGGCAACGACGACCACGCACTGTTGAGCAGCTGTCTTATATCATTCAAGATTAGGCAAATATTCAACTTGCAAAACTACAATAATTAGTATCCTCAATTCCCAAATGATTAAAAAGTGTAATTAAAAGGAATGGTGATGGAAAAGATCACTAAAGATGCCTCTGTACCATATTTTGTGGAGTGTGTTGCAGCCATCAAAATCAAAACTTGTTTATATTTACAAAATAAGCGAAATAAGTTGGTCAGTGAAAACATTGGAAATATTTTCTGAAGGTAAATAAAGGTTCAAGAAAACGAAGAAATCACAGATTCTTGATTTTAGTGCATTTTGATTGCATTTTATTGCATTTTACAAAATGTCCCAACTATTCTGGAAATGGGGTTGTACATTAATGACAGACATCAAAGCAGAAGGTTTATTTGGTCACTTAAAGATCTAAAGCACGAGACGCGGATCTGACACGTATCCCATGGCCTCACAACTCTTTAGTCATTTAAGACTTAAACTGTGCTTACGAGGATACTCGACAAAGAAGGCATCTTGGTATGCGTTTGTGTGTTTATGTCTGTTTAAAGAGAATGCGCGTTGTCTGAAGCGGCTTTCTGTGCACACTGATATCAAAAAAGTTTAAGTTCTGAAGACATTGTTTCAACGCTGTACCAAAAATAGCCACCGGGGCGTCCCACTAGCAGAACGGAAAACGGATGCTACGTTAATAGCTTGAAATATTATTATTTTTTTTAAATTCAATTTTGACAGCCCTAAAATACATAGACTACACACGCAGTGGGGTAAAAAAAAAATGTTACATTTAAATCTATTTTAAATACTTTTTTCATTACAAATGATATTATTTGCATGGCAATTGGAGTGAAATATTAACAAATTTCACAATTTGAATTTTATTTAATTTATTTATTTTTAAATTATATTGTTTACATGGTCAATGTCACGCTTTTGCTTATTTGGTTATTGCTTAACCATGCAAAATCTTAAATGTGTATTATTCATTTTCAAACCCATAAAATTTAAGTTTATATCCTTGTTTAAATTGAATGTGGTTTGAGGGTTTTTCAGGCTGTTGCTCAGAACCATATCTTGTGGGTAATTTGGGACAGTCACTAATAAGCAAAACATAACTGTTTGAGCATCCATATACTGTATTTAAGAAAAGCAAACTAATCAGAAAATGACATGACACGTTTTTCTTGTTTACATTGCAGATGAATTCACCGTAGAAAGGGCAACAACCAGATTTCGCTCAGTTCCAAGATTTTGGATTGGTTCGAAGCTTTCCATCTCTGTATTCTGGTTTCTTTTGCCGTTCTTAAAGTCCCCCCGTGGCGCAAATCAAGTGTTTAATGTTGTTTATATATCTATGTGGTGTTTTTAATATGCTTTAAGACAAACCATGTACAAATGCACAAGTCAACACCCTTTTGAGTATTTTCTCTTTAAAACTGCAGTGAACCAAAGACTCAAAAACGCTGTTTGAAATTGCTAGTGTTTCTGACATCACAAACTGTAACTAATCAGGTCAACCAACGTGTGATTGTCAACGAGTGAACCTCTGGTGTGAGTGAGTGGAGGCGGGGGCCAATTTGCATATTCATGGTTCCGTAAATATACTAAATGAGGCGAGGTTGTAGAGTTACATTCAAGATATTTTAAGGCATGAGTAATTTTTATAGACTTTTAGAAATGTAATTTTGATGATCAAAGATGAGTTTTAAGGAAATAAAATCATTGACTACAGGTGGCCTTTTCTGGCTCTATGCCATTAAAAAACATAATTTCTCTCCCTTTGAGTGTATATTCCAAAATACTGTCAATATGAAAATGTATCATGTACTTTTCATTGTACTATTCAAATTCTAGTTATGTGGTCTCATGTATCTCTAAAATTCAGATTTGACTAAACTGCCTAACATTATATAAGTTTATGTATATATTATGACAAGTTTTTTGTTTTTGTTTTTTAATAAAAAAATGTATGGTTTCATTATTGTATTATTTGTTGTAGTAGTAGTAGACAGTAATAGCAGTTTACTAAACACCAGCAATGTGCAGTCTTAAAATGCAATGTGTAATCCTGGCATTTTGACTAGGAATTGTTCGTTGTTGACATCTCGATGATGGATATGTTGTTGAGTGGGCAGCAGCCAGCATGTTCCAACATGGGAAAGACTTAGTTCCACTTATTGCAGCATATGTGAAGTGGTTTCACTTTTCACTGTTTAATCCAGTCATTTTAAGATATAAATAGCAATATAAACATGTTCCCCTTTAGCATGTGGAAGGGAATCAGAAAACTTCCATCGAAGTCTATTTCTAGATGCATTCTATGCCTGCAATATGATTCATGGCATTTAAATTCAGACGTTTATTTTTTCCAGACACTTGGCTTTATACACTGAGCTTTTTGCAAATGTGCATTAAGTCTTTTGCATTTGTGCAACTAAATATGCAAACATTTTGACGTCTACTTCATTGTCTTATTGGTGTGCTGATGTGACAAAAAGTGCTGATATCTATCATAGGGAAATGCTATCAAAAACATTTGACAGGACTAGGCTACAGTATGAATCATAAATTGATCATAATAAAGAGTTTCATTTCTGTTGCAATCCACACACCACTTTGAAGTAGATTTTTATATACCTGTCATGTTTTAATAATATATTAGATCAAATATTAAACTCACAAAGAATATTTTATTTCTTTATCACAATTAGGTCAACATATGGGCTAATTTACATTTTTTTGACTAAGCCAATGTTTTTAAAAAAATTAAGTATTATTTAAAAAAATATGCCAGGTGTATTACATTGTTTTAACTGGTAATCAATGTATAGGTATTTATATCCTCTATTTAATTCTGTTTAACTAACATAAACAGCAACTTAGTTCCTTGATGAAATCATCCTCCAGGAGGTGACATCATTTTGGTGGAAAAACAGCAATGCATACATCATCAATAAATATTTGGCAAAGGATTTGTGATATTAGTTGGTTTGTGTCACTGTAAAACTTTCATTCCTGTTTGCTAAAATTGCAGAAATTGTTCATTTAATAAAAAATATACCACAATAATCATTTTAAATTTAAGTGAAACAAACGTCGTATCTGTTCTTCTCCATTTCTGCCTACTTTTACAACAGAACAGCACATTTAAACGCCAAGGGGTCTCGTCTCCATAAACACATCCAGTGACATAGTGTAATGATAGGGAGCTGACGCAAATCCTAGTTTCGTTTCTCTGTTGAATTCCTGCATTCAGTTCGTTTAGGTCTCGCTTTCTCAGAAAACGCGTGCTTGCCTTGCTGGCTATGCCATGAGTTTCACAACCCCCCCGTCCAGACCGCAGCCTATCAGCGTGAAATACTCCTCCACGGAAGGTCAGTGGTGAATCAGAAATGTCTTTTTATTGGTTGAAGGAACTTAGCTACTTATTATGAATGTTTTTTTTAATTATTTATTTATGTATGTATTTATTATTTATTTCTAGTGTGTCGCTAAGTTTCTGTTTTCTCAGCAGTTCCTAGTCTGTATTCAGTGTGATTGCCGAGGGAGGGCTGCACTTCGCTGGAACAGCCATTCGCTAAAGGGGCGTGTTTTAGTTTACGCACTAGAACATTATTGGTTGTCATCGCTACTACATTTACATATGGTAATTACAGCATTCCGATTGGGCTACGATGATAATGTGGGCTGTAACCTCCGTCAGTTTTTCATGTATAACCATTTTGTGGCCACTAAAGAGAATAAAAGTCTGAAGCAGAGACAGTTTAATCTACGTGTGTGTTGTCTACTTAGCCTGAGAAAAACTGCTTTTGTGCCTTGGTCCAACTTACATGTTGAAAGGTAATTTTCTGTTATGTTGTCTAGAGTTTTTATCTGAATTCGTTCTTGTAAAAGGCTGTGGGAAAACTGAATAATAGTATAATTTAATGTCGTGTAATTTAAAGCAGTTTTGCTCTGTTTATAAAGGAATGAAACATAAAACATAGCATATATCCATTTATTCTGTTGCATACAGCTTTAAAACTAATGGATATTAGTTGTATGATACAATTGAAGCAATTAATTAATCTCTCTAAAATTATATTTTGCCCTTTAATCTCACTCATGTCGTAAAAGGACAGTTATGGGTGTAACGTCATCAAACCCTTGAAGTGATTTTAATGGATGAGCTAAGCTCTAAAACTCTAATAATGATATCTATTAAATGTATTAATTCTAAATTATTTAAATTTAAATATAATACTTTTAATAAAAGTCTAATTTATTATTAAATTTGTGCGTTTTTCTAACATTTTATTTATTTTATTTTATTAGCTTTTATTATTGTTATTAGCTTAATGCCTAATGTTAACATAACTGCGCATAAAACAAGTGTTAGGTGACAAATGTCAACACGGACAGGATGTATGTAAACAGTTACACTATTACAGTATGTCATAATGGTTTGCGTTTTTATGTTTGCAGATGACACTCTGGAACCAGCTGCAGCTGCTGGACTCTCTGTATTTGGAGCAAGTGGACCAGCTTTACGATGAGGCTTTCCCCATGGAGATCCGACAGTATCTCAGTCAATGGATTGAGAGTCATGACTGGTGAGATTTGTTGTAATTTCCTATGTCATTTGATTCAGTAGCATCACAAATTGCTGAAAAGAATTCTTTTTACGCATTATAATTGGTTGCAGGGAATCCGTTGCAAGTAATGTATCCTTGGCCACCCTACGCTTCCATGATCTCCTCAACCAACTTGATGAGCACTACAGCCGTCTCAACCTGGGAAACAACTTCCTCTTACAGCATAATATACGCAAAATTAAGCGTAACCTTCAGGTACAAAAAAAAGGATTACATTCAATATAATTATTTTCATTATTCTAATGAAATAGCTCAGGTAATGGAATGAATCGTCTCCCATTAGGAGCACTTCCAGGAGGATCCTGTTCACATGGCTATGATCATAGCTAACACTCTGAGTGAAGAGAGAAAGATACTGGAAACTGCACTTAGTACGCAAGTAAGGCTTTTTGTCTTGCATCGCCATCGGTTGTTCTTTATTTTACAGTCCTGTTCCCCATCATGTAATCTACATACGATGTTCTCATTACTGTTTGGCCAGCATCCATTTCACCTTGTAGCCCAAGACTGGTTGCCCTCTGAAGCTAAGCAGGGTTGAGTCTGGTGTTAGTGAGGCCAGTAATGCCCAGTATAGTGATGGGGACACTGTACTGTCAAACATTGGTGGCAGTTGAGGAAATTTCCACTTCCATATGTAAAGCGATTTGAGTACCTAGAAAAACAATATATAAATTTAACTAATTATTATTATAGTTAATTTCAATAACTGGATAACTACAGTAGGTATTAACCCTCAACCTACTCCTAAACTTAACCTTAAAGGGATAGTTCAATTTGAAATTAATTTTTGATTTTCTTTGTTTCCACAGTAGTTTTAATTTTGATATTTTTAGGTCAAACCATTCGTGTCTATCAGTCATATAATGGACGTTTATGGTCACCACCTCAAAGAGCATGCACAGAAAAGTCCAAATTAAACATGATTTAATGACTCGTGTAAGGACACATTGATGGCCTAAGACACGTACGAGCGGTTTGTGTGAGAAAACGAACAGTATTTGTATTGTTTTTACCTCTTGTAACCACAGACACATCCAAGTGATCTGAGGGCCTGTGCATGCGCTGGAAAGCGCCGTAAGTGATCTCTCGCGCGGTTTGAAAAAAAAAAATCAACGTTGTCTGTTGATATGTCGAAATTGTCTTCCATTGCAATTTTCTGTATATCGAAATATGTTTAGATCTTCACAGTGAAAGGCAACACTTCTGAAATCTCTGTGTAAACAATAAGTGACACGCGCGAGAGATCACTTCCAGCGCTTCTGGCGCTTGCGCAGATAGAAGCGCCCGCGCCCTCAGATCACTTGGAAGTGGCTGTGGTTACAAGAGGTAAAAACGATATAAAAACTGTTCGTTTTCTCACACAACCCGCTCTTTTCGTGTCTTAGGCCATCAATGTGTTCTTACATTCACGAGTCATTAAATCATGTTTCATTTGGACTTCTCTCCGCATGCTCTTTGAGGTGGTGACCATAGACCTCCATTACATGACTGATAGACAAGAAACGGTTTGACCTAAAAATATCAAAATTGAAACTACTGCAGAAACAAAGACACATAGATCTTGGATGCACTTGAGGTAAGCTAAAACATATCAAAAATTAATTTCAAAGTGAACTATCCCTTAAACCCATGTAGTTACCTCATATTATCCAAGATCTTTCTTGGGTAAGTACACAGTTAGTACACGTAAATGCACCTACTGTAAAAAAAAGTGCAACCCTTGCGTCACAGCTGTCATTTCAAACCTCCGCTTGTGTTGTCATTCATTTCTGTAATTTTGTTTTTAGGGTAAAGGGAATTCATCACAGGGAAATTTCATGATGGAACAACAAAATGACTTGGGCAATAAAATCAACAATTTGAAGATGAACGTGCAGGTAAAACATCTTAATAAAAAATGACAAAGCTTTTTGGGTCTTTACCACGAACATGATCCCCATTCTACATGACTACAGTTTCACAAACTACCTGCAATTGTGCAATATTTATTTGCTTCTAGGAAATAGAACAAGACATTCAGGTTTTGGAGGATGTACAAGATGAGTATGACTTCAAGAGAAAGACCTTGCAGAGTCGAGGTAACACACACATTCTTAGCATTTCGCTCTGGTATGATATCAATGAACACTTATCTGTATATATATTATCTGGATATCTGTAATTGGTCATATCAATGTTAGATTTGACAGATATGTTTGGTTTTTACAGTCTGAATGAACAAATGATTTTTGTTTTATATATTTTTAGTGGAAGTTGATTTGAATGGCCAGATAACAAAGGAGATCCAGCAGGAGGAATTGGCAATTCGACAAATGTTTATGGGGCTAAGCATGAAAAGAGAGGT